AGCTTTGAATTACGCATCGATGCCCAGTCATTTTTGTTTAGTTTTTGTAAGAATAGAGTAAAGCACTCTGTTATGTTTGCTTGACATTTTGCCATGTGAGATTTTCGCGTTGAGCCTTTGACGTCACTTCCTCTGAGTCTTGCGATCAACTTCCGGAACATGATCAAATAATGGCGGACGCGAAATCGTGAATTTAACGGCCCGAAAAAAGATATTTCTGGTGCTCGGTCAAAACTGAAATTTGGCAGAGAAGGTGAAGGAGACACACTGAACAAGAAAATGGAAAAAAATGATGTACGAAAATTTTGATCTCAGGGGCACTCTAAATAAAGTGATTGATTGTTTGACTGATTGAATGATAGGAAAGCACCCTCACGAAGAATAATCTTGCTGCATCGAGAATACTCCAAAGTAGCATTTGTTGCAAAGTGCAAAAAGCGAAGAAACGGCCCAAAACCTGGAGAATCCGACCCCTCTTAAACTCTAACGAAAATTCACAACTGTAACTTTAAAAATAAGGCTATGAGTTGTGCTGAAAACAAAAAAGGTCAAGATAAACGTGAGTTTGTCTTGATTTGTCTGCATGGATGTAGATATTTTCTATTATTACTAACCTCTGAATTGCACGGTTCACTCAACATTTTTTTTATTATCCTTTCTGTTTTAAATGAAGGGAAACATATTTACACTCAAAATATTCTTATCTGTAACGCGTTCGGAATGTACCAGAAAATGACGTGATTGCATCTCAAGCGGCCGACCAGATGATTCAACACACGATCCCATTGTATTACATGTCACGCAGTGTGTGTAAAAACGAATGCGATAGGCCAATAACAGTATGCATATAACAGCATATTTTATTTAAAGTTCAGTTGTAGAACTGATGTGGTGATTTCCAAAGTGTATTATTTAATTATAAGTGATTTGCCAGATGTAAAGTAAAACGGACAATTGCGGTTGTGTCTACTCTTGCGTAACCGTTCCACATACTTAATGCGAGGGTGCTTCTGCAGTAAAGAGTGGTAAAATTATTAACTTGTAGTTTTTCTTGCCAGACCGACTTGGATTCAGTTGTTTTTTAGTCGTAAAAGGATTACTGTGCAATCTTGGTTCACTATCGCAAGAATTCCGACTGTTGAAATTTGTCCGGCCAAAAAAGGGTAGTGTCCGAGCAAAAGCATGTTTGACCAGACAACGTGACCGGCGACTGCTCGTTCGTTATTTGCAGCCTTGGTATGTGAGGATCTGACTGATGAAATGCTGCTACTTTTACTTTGAACAGGGGACGTGCAATTAGTAATAGGAAAACGCATGTTGTGCTCAGCAAAATAATACATGATTCGTGACAATTACCTTAGCAGCAGCCAGTCGCAGAGGCGAGGCCACAGCTATTTCCTCTACAAAGTTGGATGGGATCAGACCTTTCTTGTTTTTCAGCTGTGAAGTAAGACACTCGTTACGGAAAAAAAAAAGTAAAACTCTACACTCTTTCTTCAAAACTAGGTGAAAAAAAGGCATTTTGGCATTTTCCTAGCCAACGTGCTCGAACGTTTTCACAGAATGATCTGGACTGTTAGTAACCTCCTTCAAAACGGCTGCCAAAAGGGCCTATTGGTTAACGAGCTATAAAGGAGTATCAGGGATGTTCAATTAAATTTTACTGCTTGGCAATCGACTTCGTGTGAGTTGTATGCGGATATAAAAAAAAAGAAAAGTAAGAAGAAACCAGCCTTGAGGATTGGGAAAATGGCAAGTATAAGTTTAAAAAAAAACTTCGGACTACGCGCGACCCCGAATTACAAACACTTACATTACCTTTCCTACGAAATAGCCGTCCTTTCTGAGAGTGTTAAACACTTGTAATATGTCCCCTTCTTTGAAGCTCATTTCAGCAGCAGGATTTTGATTGGGTGAACTTTTAAATGGATCGTAGTCATAAAGAGCTACAAACTGAATAGAAAAGAAGACATCAGAATCAGTCATCAGCACACCAATGTCTTTCGTGCACTTAGAACGATGCACTAACTCGACCTTAATGTATTGCTCATTGTGGACAGATTCATCAACATAAAACGGAGGGAAAATGGCACCTATGCAATGGGAATTGTTTTCTCTTGACCTATCCCATTAATCATTTTACATTCTACGCTTTCCACACTAAATCGAAAAGTCATCTCAAGTAACATATACAACAACAGAGTGGTCAATAATACCGTTCTATATTGCTGCCCATCTTCCAAATCCTTTGAAAACAGAAACAAAAAATTCATGATTAGCCTAAACAGCTGAACTTTTCACTGGAATGCAAATACTCTGACGTTTGCGAAAAATGCACAAGGAAACACGTTAAAACGAATTTTGCTGAATGTGGCAAGCGCCATATGGTAAAATCAAACTTCTTGCTGTCTGTTATCAGGAATGATTTGTAAGGTACAAGAAACGCGGGGAAATCAGAGTTTATCATTTTTTCCGCAAGAATAAAACTCCTTTTTATCATCACATATAACACGGCGCCAATAGGATGTAAAGGTCATAGCAATTGATAAAATACAGGCGCCGCATGTGACAAGAAGAGTTGTATTCATTAAAAAAAATCAAGTTTCTAACTTCCTCATAAGTATTCACTCGGCGAGTGCTAAATTAAAAAAAGCTGTCTGTGATATATAAGGAAGGTATTCATAATAAAGTGGATTCTGCGCTTGAAGGGAACCGATAATAGCAGAAAAACTAACCTCGAAATATTCTTCACGCGAATCCTGCCAACAAGAAAAAAAAAAAAGAAAAAATATATATACACATAAAAAATAAAAATAAAAAAAGTTCGCTGCTTTTATGTTAAAGCGTGGCTTTACAAATATAAGCAAAAACAACAAAAATGTTAATAATCAGTTTCTTTGGGCGAAATGACCAGCTTTCAGAGTGATTTCCTGATTAGTTATTGGTAACGAGATATTTAGTACTTAAAATACGTCCAATATAGAAGAGAAAGACTTGCACGGTTAGTGAGTTACTGACTGAATAATGTTACGCAAGATTTAACTAACGATTAGTCAACTTTAAAACAGCTCACTTAAAGAGCAGTCTCAAAAGAGCTAAAGGTGTCCTCGTGGACATCCAAAGTAATCAGTGTTCGACCCCATAAACAAAAAGACAACGACCCCCTCCCCCCGTGTTTCCCACGAGGAGGACTCGCCAAACTACACTATATTGACTAGTTCTGCGAGTCTACTAGTTCCTTACCAATAAACTCTCTTTGATTATGTCGTCAAATGTTGCTGTAACAGTTTCAGAGGATGCGCCATTTTCAGCCACTGTTTTGATACTAAATTTGATAGGCAGACCAAGTTCAAGACCCTCGACCAAAGCCTAATAGGAAATTGGAGGAAAAAAGGGTACAGCTGAAGACATGACAAAAATATCTGCAGCAGTTTGTTAGCAATAGGAAGAAAACCGAAGGGGTTATTTAATTGCAAGAATCAAACTGCATGGAAAAGACCAAGTGGAAATATGGCTGATCCTTCAGGGAATAATTACTTTCACTAAGATTGGTCTAAGTGTTAAGCATAAGGACACACTAGTCCATCATACCTTGGCCATATAAGGGCTATGAACATCGAGCCTCACGTCGTCATTCGCAGAAATCTATAAACAGTGAAATAAACCATAATTAAACAAACAAATTCTTAATCAGCTCAATTGAGAGAGTCAAGGTAAACTGTAGTCAAAACGAACGTACTCACCTTATATCCCTTCACAGAAAGACCGCTGCTTCTACCAAACTCGTCCATTTCTGGTAGAGTCCATCCCAGCAACATAGCATCGTGGTTCACCGGCCGAATAATGCGAAAGTTGCTTGGAGCACTGGGGCGAACTAAGAGAAATGACAGAAATACGAAGCAATTTCATTATTAACCAAGTATGTGCTGGGAGAATAGATGGCAGGAGGTCTTACGAGTTCGGACCAAACATAATGAGGTCAGTGCGAAAACATGAAAAAAGGGACGTAAAGTCTTCAAGTCGAATATCGAGTCCAACGTCAAAAGTGTTGGACTCCTTGCCTTGCGTCTCTTTGGCGTGCATTACTACACGATATCCTCTTGCATACAATAAACAAGGTGTATTTTTTTTTTGTCTGGGTGTATTTTTTTTTATCTGCTTTTATCTCGTTCGTTAGCTAGAATTTTTCACTCAAAGAAGTTTAACAGACGTTTACTACCAACAACTTGAACGAATTAATAAATATTTTCTTTAATTAAAAAAAGTTGGATTTTTCCTAAATGCGGCTCGAAAGACTTTAGAGCATCGATTGCTAACTTGTGTATCTCACAAATATTCCAGAGATTTAATTCAATATCTCTTACAACTTTCTCTTGAAATAAAGAAAGTTTGGCCAAAAGGAAAGTTCTGTGAAGCTTTTTACTGCTTGTCCGAATTTCAGTTGCCGCATACATAGAATTTATCAGTGCATTTCTTCCCTTCCGACAACCAAGTGAGTGCTCCGAGTTACGTTTCTCTGAATATGTTTCTTTGGAATGGTAATTTTACAGTGCATCATCCAAACTTATTGCCACATTTTTTACGTCAGCACTGCTTCAGGAAAACGTCTGTAACTCTACCTCTAACTGTTGTAACATTAACGACTCAGTACGAGGCTCGTACCTTTTTTAGATCTTGACTTAGTTGACACGAAAGGAACGATCTGTTTGGAGGCAGCGGGTGCTGACGATATTTTGGCTGGTTTTCGGGAGGACAGCGGGACTAACTGTTGTGAGGACTGTGTCACAGAAGCCATAACACCCAGTATATCTACGTCCGGTGATGGCTTGAATTTTGTTAATCCCACACTGGGTAGTTTGTTTGGACTGCCGGGAAGACGCGTATGATTTAATGACAATTGGGGACCGTTAGGATTACCTTCGTGAGTTAGTGACATCACACTTCCCATCGATGACAGCGGTGTGGCATGGTCAGAAGCTGTAGCTAGTAAAGATGAACATGGCAAAATGAGCCGTTTCCAAGATGCCAAATCTCTCTGCAGTAAACCCAGGGTAGGTGCATTTTATGGATGACTTTTCACTCTCATGCATTTCTCTACGACAAAGGTTTCGCACTAGGCCTTGCTTTTTCAGGTTTTATTTTTTTTAATCGGACATAAGCTACTAAATATTACTTCTATATCGAGGATAAAAATGAAGTTGATCAAAGAAAGTTACGGTCTGAGACACTTTGCTGACGCCCACTATAACCTTTAGTGGAGAGAAGCACTCTGAGAGGATAGTGTCGAGTGTGAAGCACAATCAGCCGGGCTCCGTATGTATTCGGAACTTTAAAACAGTCAAACGTGCACACTAAGGGCCCAATAACTTATTCGATGTAACTTCTCACATCTCACAAACTAGACGCGTAATAGCTTGTGAAACTCACCTTCTGGTTGTCCCTGTCCGGGATTATTATGTAACATTCCTAATATCTGCTCTGGAGCTTTACTGTTCACCTTGAAAATGATCAGAACACAGAATAAAAGTAGTTTACAGATAATGATGAAAGACCAAAATTGCTTCTTGTTTCGAAAGCATGGCACCTTCACCGCCCGCAGTGAACGCACCATCTACATGTTTATCTTCATAGTGAAGATAGCAATGTCGGCATGGTAACTGGGATTATAAACACGACTGAGTTACTTTTCGCGAAGTAGTTTAATTAAATTTACAAACGTCGTGGTTGAATTCAACTTGTTTTGAGAGAAGGGAGAATGTGTTTATTTCTTCTACATTTGAGGTTGCCATCCTGCGGGCTGGGTCAACGGGTATTCGGTGTTCTTGAAATGTGTTTCAAATTTGTCTTTGGTTTAAAAATGCAATCAATATTTATAAAATAAAGAGAACATTACATGTCCACTTATGGACACAAGTTTAAGCACTCTCTTTGAAAACAGGAACACACAAAGACAAAATTCGCATCCATGCATGGCCAAGGAATATCATGTGTTCCCTGATCAATATAGAGAATTATCTGACATACTTACAGGTTGCCGCAATAAAGAAAAAGATTCCTTTTCCACCATCTCTCCAGGAACAAATCCTGTTTGACCTTAAAAAAGGTAAAATTGAAAATTTATCATTTCCAAATCTCTCAAATCATTTCGGATGGACAATACACTGTTTTTTTTTTAATTAATAACAAGATTTAGAAAAAAGATGTATTTTTTGCCATGTGCAAAAATAAAGGGAATGTGTAGAAACAGGGGGGCAGGAAGGTGACCATGGTAAAGGTTAAGCAGCGAACTGTACATTTCCTATCTCAAACAAACCAATAAAAAATAAATTCTTCATGAAGAGGACTTCAGTTAGTTTGCACTAGTTACTCTCTTTTAAACAATTTCGGCGTACAGTCCGATTTTAGACTGGCTGTTTGACGGAGAAAAACAAAATAACACTAAACGTAAACTCTCACCTTTAAGAAAAACGCGGTAAAACCCATTTGCATCCTGATCTTCCAATGTTGTCATAATATCACCTTTCTTCAGTGGTAGTTGATCATGAGGCGGCAATCCAGGGACACCAGAACAAAAAGGATCGTAATCGTGCACGGCCACTAAGCAATGAGGTTTCTCAAGTCCTGTAGAAGAGGCCCCTGAAGATGAGTTACCACGGCGGCAGGAAAAGATATCTGGATGCAACTGTGGAAAGAAGAAACGAATTACAAGTAGATTGTTTCCTTTTTTCCCGGGAGATATTTGGAAGAAAGCTTGTTTAGAAATGTACTGCAACTTCGGTAGCAATGGTGTTACCATCAGGAACTGTTTTGTTCGCATTTCGAAACAGAGCCAGATGTTCTCCTCTAACGGAATTTGATTTGTATCTGGTCTGACAGTTGTTTTACTCCCGTTTCCATACTAGGAAAAAGAGGCCGCCAAACCCGTTCCATCTACGAGAACTTCATTAATGAAACGTTTTGTTTTCTTATTAGAAAAAATATCTAATATATAGAAGTTCTATATATATATATATATAGCAAAAAAGTGCCATTAGAAGAGCATACGTCACTAAACACCATTAAGGTGAACGTCTGCGCTGCAAGTTTACTAGTTTCGGTTAAGTCACGAGCGATATCTGAGAAACTTCGATCCCGTTGATAAAGAATAAAATTTAAAGACACAAACAACAAGAAACAAAAACAATATTTACTTGACATGTGCTCTGTCGATCGACAAAGTTGTTTCAAAAAGTTCTAACTATGTGGAAGAATTAAAAGTTAAGACTTTCTTTTAAAAACAATTCGTGCAAGTAAGCCATGGTTTTCGGATCTTGAACAATTTATTGTCGTTGCAACCACTTCAACCTCTTCTGCCTTCACTTATCGTTAATTCTCAGGCTGGTTAATTATCATGTGTCTCGCGTTTCTTCCCTACCATAATTAACTTATGAAGACTCAAAATATTGGATCGTATTCGGTAAATCCCTATCTCACCTGAACTTCCTTGCTCCTGTTCAAAGCACCATGTTTCAGTGCCCTCCTGTGAGAAATTCTTAACTGCTCCTCTAGCGCAAGATCAGAGTCATTTTTGTCCTCGACTTCTTCTACATATAAACTAGGGACTAGGCCTCGTTCCCCGTTCACGTCCGCCTCAAAGTACCCATTGATGTCCATATCACCGAAAACGGTCAGGAGATCTCCCTCTTTGAGTATGAGCTCCAACTCAGGGTGTTCAGATGAAGGTGAGTTACGTGGGTCGTAATCACACAACGCAATAAAGCGCTTAGCTTTTTTGGCTCCCGGAGGTGAGGCTTCGAACAACTTAAAGAAAGGTGAAATAAATCTGTTGCAAATAGCCAATAATTTGATTCTACAAGAGGAAGGCTAACTTGTCTAAACTGACAGAAAGTGTAGAAATTACAAGGCCTTAAGAAGAGCGAGTCATTTCTTCATAAGCTGGTGAACAAGAAGCGAGTTTTCTTCAATTAACAAGTTAATCAGAGTTCACTTCCATTTTATGGACCAATTGTCGACACCTGTATAACGGACTAATCAATCAATCAACTGCCGAAGTTGAATGACGTTTTACAAGCGAGGTCTTATATCCAGAGGTGAATATAATCTTACAGACTGAACAACCATCTCCTAAAAGCGTGTTAGCTTTATATACCCATGACATTGTAACTTGAAACTTTCACAGACCTTAGGAACTTGTTTAGCGATCTGCTTCTCTCGATCCCGATGAGTAGGTAACTCCTTGAAGTTGTCTTGCGCGTAACCGAAGCTGCGGATTTTCGAAAGGTCGTCAAGAGTAGATGTTGATATGAAATGACGTAAATCGCGAATTTCTGCATTTAGTTTCTCGACAAGATCGTCTTTTTCTTTACACGCTATCCTAAGCAAGGAAATCTTAGCCTAGAGGTAGGAGACGAAGGAAAATAAAAATTGTTTCGTTAGCAGGTTATTGATGGGAAGGCAGGTACAACGATAGACGGACAAACAAAGACAGAAAGAGAACTTGTACGAATAGGTGATCTCAATGTTCACCTTCAAGGTTGGTATTTGCATCTCAGTGTCATCTTTTTGACGCATAGATTCCGCAAGCTATGAAGAAAACAAATCTTCACTATTAAAGACTCATCCAACTTGGAAAGCATGGTGACTTCATTGAACTTTTTCGTTGACATTTCACTTTCACCACTTTTTAAACGAGTTTTGGCTCGTTAAAGGCCTTCATACCTCAGCTCAGGTAACACATACCAAAGCGAGCCCTGCAATTCCTGATGTTTGACTGGTTCATTTGCCTGAGTTTTCTCACTAATTTATATCGTACTTGAAATTAAATGCTAGAAAATGTCACTCACGATACAAGTCCATACCACTACAGTACTGTACTCGCGGCCAAGAGATGACACTCCATGGGCCTATACACTCAAGGTTTGGTAACGAGCAAACACTACAGTGGTAACGGTAAAGAACTGTAGATTCATACCGCCTTAAGCAAGTTGCAAACTCACCTGAATACGAAGAGAATGAAAACTGTCTTCAAGTTTAACGTGATCTCTGTGAAGGATAAAATACATTGTGCTGAGCTGACTCTTCAAAATTGTGTCTTGCGTTGCATACATACACGTCAACCTTAGTTGTGCATTCTCGAAATGGGATGACTTCCATTCAATCGTTAATACTCGAAAATAAAAAACTCGGTTGCCTGTATTACGCTAACTAACGGAAAAGCTGTGCCGCATCGAACAAAAGAGACAGATAACGACAAGTTAGATTGAAACCTTGTCTTCCAATACCACACGATACCTGTTAAGGTCGTACAATTCCGCCACTTGATTTTCTAGTGAATTTCGTTCTTGTGTCGTGAGGGCAAGTCTAGTTTGCATTTCATTTCTTTCAGCCTCCATTTTTTCCAGTTGTACTTTGAGGAAGTTTCTTTCGTGTTGACAATCGTGCATTTTTGTGTGAGCTTCTCTTACGTCATGTTCTAGTTGTGCCAACTAAGAAAAAAAAGAACGACAAATCGGCAATGCTCTCATTCCAACTTCAAAATTCCCTTGGTTAAATTTTCTGCTGAAGCTAAAAGACGATGGTTCACTTACGACCTTTGTGAAGAAGACAATCAGCGGAAGGCTCAGTCAAATAGTAATGTTTGTTAAGGAAAATGACTGAGCTTTAACATCACTTTGTTCTCTACATTTTCCAAGAGAAACAAAAACACCGAATGGATGATTTCTTTGCTATAAAACATCTGACAACATCACACCCTGAACACGAGAACAAATAAGATATTGATTAACAACATTTTCAGTTGCGACGGACAGCTGGTAAGAGAAGGAAAGCTTACAGATCAACAACACCGGCTCAGCCAAGCTGTCTCTTACCCTGGTATTTAAGGTGGTATTTGTCTTTTGTAACACGGAGCATCTTCTATTTAAATCATCTCTTTGCATCTCCATAAGCTTATTGTTCCGTTGGAAATCGTTTCTCTCTGTTTCAACCATCCGTCCTTTTCTGAGTAGGTCATCTCTTTGATTCTCTACCGCTTTCATTTTTTCGATCAAGTTATTTCGATCTTGCTCCACGATGTCCATTTCTTGTAATTGTGCCTGAAAACCAGGTAACAAATTATGCGTTGAATGGCTTCAAAAATGTAACACCAGGAAAAAAAATTAAATAGTTGATCAGTGGACACTTCTCCAGAAATTTTATACATACCTGTAGTATTTGAATGCTATGTTCCAGTTTCTTAAATTCTTTCTCACTTTTTTCCAACTTTTTTACCTGCAAAGAGTGCCGCAAAAAAAAGAGGAAAAAACAAATGAACGACGAGAAACCACTTGAGATCAAGGGACAAGAAACATTACAATTAAGGCTATTGAAAAGATGGACGAAATTGTTACCTTTTCACTTAACTCAAAGTTCTGCTTTTCCATTCCACTGTATTTGGTTTGCAACTCGGCGAGTTCTCTCTCCGCACCATGCAAACTTTTTAGCTGGTTCTTTAAAGAAGGAAAGAACAATCCACAATTAGGCACAAAAGTCGCTTGGCGTTCCCTGGTTCTAAATCACGCGTGTTACGGCAGTTATGAAACTGAACCTGTAAATTCATATATGCTGCTTCCATTCTTTGTCTCTGTCTCTCTGAATTGCTGGCTTCCGCTTTCCACTGTTCAATCTACAACATAAGTGTCATTAATTACAAGATGCATGAAGATACACATAGAAATTACAGAGGAAAATACATATAAATTCCTCTAAAACTTCTCTTCTCAGCCTTCATCTAATATCAAAAGAAGGAGTCCTAAAGAAGAGCGAAGATGTACGGTATTTCGAGTAATTTGATTCCTTACCTCGTAGTTCTTTTTATTTATTTCCCCAACCTAAAAAAAATGATAAAAGAAAAACGTAAGCAACATCTCAGATGGAAAGGCGAAAATAATCATATAAATAAGTCACAAACAAAACCATAATTCTTACTGTACTGTTTTAAATCAAACAGGAGATGTTATGTGACTAAACTGATAAAGATACAGGGGAAAACCAGAGAAGATAAGCCACTAAATTGTTTATGGTTCATCTCACCTTAGTAAGAAGTTCTTTTTCTTTCTTTTGATTCTGTTGAGTAAGAAGGAACAAATGTCAAATTGACTAACAAATGGTCAATATTTAGGTGACATTACTAAACCAACTTGTTGAGCTTTCTAGTTAATTCTTATGTACCTCTTCTTTCAAAAATGCCACATCTTCATCCTGAAAAAGAGAACGACAAGTTAGTTACCGAAGTTAGTCCTGCTGTATGGTGACGGTTTGTTCAAAATACAACCTTGCTAACCCACTGCCACAACTCGCGATAGTAGCGGAAAAAACTCCAAAATTATGAAGGTGAAAGATTGGAAGCATGAGAGGTGGTTTTTTTTTGTTTAGGATCCGAGATAACCACGCTTGTGATGAAGTAACGCAGAATCGCATAAGGAAAGAAGTCTTAGATTGTTTAGGCAAGCCCTTCACAATCTTTCTGTGGCCCGTTGAGGAGATAAATTCGACCGTTTAGTAAAAAACTCGACCAGTTTTAGTCACAGCAGTTTGATTTTTGAGTCAGACTGATCCTTCTTCGTCAAGGCGAAAGTAAAGCTTGAAGCTTTTCCGCCCGTTACGATCATATTTTGACTCGAAACTCTCCTGTGCGAATTTTGTCGTCAGGCGCCGAGAATAAAGAAGACCTCTTCAACACGGAATTTTAGTGTCGTCGCTTGTTAACGCTGAACTTTATTAAAAATGCGTTTGCTGAGCTGAAAGGTGACTATCCTGCAACCAGTGGATTTCTCCCTCGCCCTTGTCTGTTATTTAACTAGGGAGAAGCTTCTACTTTAAGGGTAAAAACTGGGGCGGCAACCTAAGAACACAAGTCTATTTTTGTGATAATTAAGATGGATTCTTCTAGCAATTACTTTTACAACAAAATGGTTTGCACTGTTTAGGCGAAGGTAAATGTTCACTTTTTGCGTTTAGTTTAAATAGTTTTACCCAACCAAAAGTTAAATTTAATTCACGCTTTTAAAAGAGAGAAATCAAGACCACGTTTGAGTTGTCATTCTGAATTACAGTTTAACGCCCTTTACCCAACTGGCGCTAGCGGTTATTTTAATAAGAAATCAGCGTTGTACGTTATATTCCTCCTCTGTCCCCGCTGTCATCATGGGTTTCTTTCTCCATACACACGCGTGTTTGACCCGATACTACAGGGCTTCAGACTCGGTAAAAAAGTTTTCTGTACCATGTTTTGATTGGAAAAGTTGACGTTTTTGCCGTTTACCAGGGAAGGGAGAGAGAGAGAGAGAGAGAGAGAGAGAGAGAGAATTCATCAAACTTACTGATGAATATACGTGATTACAAAAACGTTCACCACATACCAGGATTCTCAGTTCACGACCTTTTCGTTCAAGCTGCAAAAGTGAAACGAGAAAAAGAATGATAATTTATAGAAAACATCTCTTTCATACTCTAGCTAAGATATTTTGAGAGAAAATGAAGATCGTGCTGGCTTCTAAAAGGTACTTACCAAAGATTGGGTCTCCAGTTCAGTTGCTTCGGTCTATTAAGAAAGCAGTTGTTTCCATTAGGTGACCGGATACACGAGGAAAAGCGAGTGAACACAACGATTTTCTTAACATACAGTAAAGATCCCATGTAATGAAACGGTAGTAATGAAAACCTGGCTGAAGTGCCATGCTCAACGTATAAACACAAATATTTGTCTTATCTAATTTGACAGCAAAGTTCTGAAACATGAAACATACCTTCAAGGAACGTATGGCATTTTCTTTGTTCTGAAAGTGGAAAACAAATTTAACCGTATATAACCAAATATAAATGCACTGAGTACAATACGATACAAAAGAGTAATCAAACCAATTGAAGTGCAGTTTGGTCTGAAATCACACCCGTGATTTGAGCGAGTTCGATTTGATATCACCAGTAAAAATGTCAGACCAGAATTGCAAGACACGAGGCTCACCTGCCATTTTGAAATTTCACAATCTAATCGTCTAAATTTGGGCAATTGCAAGAGACGTGATTCAGAGAGGTCAAAATAGATGTATTGAAAAGAATTATTTAACTTATTAAAAGAATGTGTACTAAATGTCGTCGGATAAATACCCATTCGGTTTGTAGCTGTTAGATTCTAGTTATTGTCTTCTTTTTGTGTAAGTGTATCAGATTTAGGGGATAGAGGGGATAGGATGCTTATTTTTTTTTTAGAGGGTTGGGTTGGTATTTAAACCTAGTAGGGGACTTATTTCCTATTGTTTATATACCAGTACTTTGTACAAATCCTTAAATAAATAAATAAAATAAAATAAATAAACTTAAATTGGTTAGCTTTCGACAAGCTCCATAAAGGTTATCGGGAGTTAAACGCATTTCACCCATTTCACATTCAAGGAGGATTCAGGTCTAAAACTCCCCACCAGGTAATGAATTTTGATCGGTTGGTGTCGCGCTCTGATAGACTCCAGCGCTACGACATGCCCAATATGCTTCAAGGTTGTATACTTCTGTTACAAAACCATTCAGTTGCCGAGTCCGAGCTATAGACTGAAGTTCTTGCTGGTCTGCTGTTTCGAAAATCGCCAGAAGTAATAATATGACCCTTTTTACTATTTAATCTAAAGAAATTAAGTCGCACTCTTACTTTGAGCTGCCTCTCCAAGAACCCAATCTTCTCGTTAAGCGCGTCTATTTCACCACGATTGATCGAAGCGGCCCGGTTAAGAACAATTCCCCGCGGAGGAATGACTCCATCCTCCTCATCACGTAACCACTGGGACGGCATTGACGAAGCTAAATTAGAATTTGCAAATGAGACCACTGGTTGGTTTAACGGTGCTGGTTCACGCTTTTGCAAAAGGAGTCTTTTCGGTCTGGGAAGTACCTGACGGGGAACCCTGGTTTTTGAATCATCGAGTTTTATAGATTCTAAACCTGTTGGCCGCCTACCAGATGAGACGGCTAATGGCGTGGGCTCCTCTCTCGGATAGATTCCACCCAGCTCGCTGGGGTCTGATTCGAGGACCAAGGTAGTTTCCTCCACAAGAACAGGAGATTCCATTCGGGAAGAAGGTTGTGACACCTCAGAGGAGGGTTTATTTTCTGAGTAAAGGCGCTGTCGGGATGATGCCCGGAGAGTGGCTGCATCTCTAGGTGGAGAAGAATCACTATTTAACAACGGTTCCAGTCCATAATGGACGGGTGGCGAAGACTCCGTGAAATCCGGCGGTAGTTCAGACGGGAGAGGTGGTGGAGAGGATTCAGGGAGGGGAGGAAGATCTCCCTCATCGTCTGAATTAAAAATGACAAGATCACCAAAGCCTTGTCTGTCTCCACTGGTGTCCTCTGTAAGAACAGAATCTTTTTCGCCTCTATAACGAAGATCTTGAATACGTTGGTCGATAATATCCATTTGGTTGTCCAGATTCCTATGGGAAACCGTAAGCTCTGGTTCAGAAATGAGGTCATCAGAGTCGAAAGTACTTTCGTTATGAGAAGGCATCGTATTTTCAAAATCATTTATTAGCGCTAAATAGTCCACTGGATCATCTTTCCCACTGAAAGCTGTACATTCTCTATAACGACTTTGAGGTGACGGCTCAAACTCCAAACGACTGTCGCCAAGGTAACGTATTTCAGTGGCAACTGTTGAGCGGACCTGCGGTGCTATAGTCTCCTCGATGGAGCCTGGTATCGAACTGGGTACATATCGAGAGTTTTCGAAACTCCTAACTGCTTTGTCAACAGAAGACTCAGCATAATCGGTCTGTGTTTCCTCGTTTAATCTTTCAGTGTTTTGCCTGTCCTGGGAATAGAAGAGAGAATGGTATCAAATACTGGAATTAAGTCGTAACTGCCCACTTTCTTGGTCATAGTCCTTAATATCCCTAGAGCATGAAAAAATCATTGGATACTTGTCCTCGAACATTACTTGTTCCAATGAGCAATGAGTTTTTCGACAGCAAGCTCAAGAAAACTATGGGTTTTGAGGAACAGATAGTGGTCGAGGAAAATATCCGAACATATTTTATGCCCAAATAGAGTCTTAAACTTGTATATAGTGGCGAAAATAAAAACTTTTCGGGAACCAGGGTAGCCAGTCTACACTAACAAAAGGTTTGTAAAAACGTGGTTCTTTAAGGGAGAGTGCCACTAGAGGTTAGCTCTTAGGCCCCCGTTAACATGAGGAAAGAAAAAAAAACAAGATATTTTAAATCCCTTGAGGCGTGTCAACGTAGATCTCAACAAAAAAATTACCAAACAGGGATGACTGAACGGGCAATGGCCCTAAAGCTAACCCAAGTTGATACTTTCAGTCACTACCACTTTTCGGTCATTCCAGTCTGGACTCAGCGTTCTAAGGTTTTCAGTCGAATTGGGTCAGTCTTGAAGGAAACCAAACTCTTTAGAGTTAATGCACAAAGAGCTCTTTACGGAAGCTAAACCCAGGCCACAAATTAATCCGAGCTAGTGTCGAGAGACTTGAAGATCAATAACCAAGTAAACATATCCATACAGTATTACTCGCTGAACAAATTAAGCGACTGCGAACGATCTTATGTCAAAGATCAAAAGAATCAAATTGACTTTGTTTCAGTACTGAAAACCTATTAACCTTTCGTTGAAACATCCTGAGCATAACACGCTGAATTTTTCTTTACAATGGTCTATCAGCCTAATTAAGTCGATAAGAATTGGCTTTCTCATCTCTGCAATTTTTTCTGACCATAAAACTATCTAACCCTTTGTATCGGTTCAGTGGTAAAACTATTTTATAAATTTTGAATTCTACTTTCGGCGTTAATTGACGAAAGGAAAAAAGCAGTAGGTTGTCAGCCTTATCATGAAGCTGATCGTCAGTGCTTCTGTAAGTTCCACATTTGTGCATATTTATTCAAGAAATTGTAAAAATTTGAAAACGAATGAGCCGTTTTACACGGCTGTTTTTACGAAAAAAGTCACCAGCATGTCAGGTAACAAAACAAAGAAAACTTCTCGAAGTATACTACAAAGGAGGAGGCATACAACTCCTTGCGGTGTATCAACAATATGGTACAAAACTGCTCATTTAATACGTTATACAACAAATTACTGGTAAGGGCTTGTCCACAGAGTATTCAAGTGTTCGCGAAGTTCTGCTACTTTTTTATCATGGTTCTAGGATCAGCTGCAGAGATGGATTTCCTTTTATCGCTGTATCGAAACAATAACCAGCCTATATATAGTTCAATGCAAAATGAACACGGCGTTTGTTTGAGTGTCCTGTTCAATTATAACTGGAGACGAGACAGTCAAATTTGTTCTAAAAACCTTAGCACGAATTGAATCAGACTGTGCATTGAGAGCAGGTCTTAGCTTATGAATAAAAAAACATCTCATAGACAAGACAGTCAAATTTGTTATATGAGATGTTTTTTATTCATAAGCTAAGACCTGCTCTCAATGTACAGTCTGATTCAATTCGTGCTAAGGTTTTTAATTAGCCTTTTACTTGCACTTTCTTTGTAGTTTTCTCGTTTGTTTACACCTGCAAAAATTTTTTTATATTTCTTACGTGTATATATACATATATTTACTGTATTTCATTCCATTCACTTGACAATGATCGAAACGTCGGAACGTCGTGTTTTACCGTTGATTTTTATCGTCAAAAGCACGGTCGAAACGTCGTGATTTACCGTTGATTTTTATCGTCAAAAGTTTTAAGAAACCCTTGCTTATAAGAATGTTCAATTATAACTTAAGGAAATGTCACATAAAAACCGTGATCGCTCAACTTCACTCTGCAGGAGTAAGTGACTTGAGAATAAATGGGAAAAAATAGGAAAGAAAGCAAAATCCGACACACTACGGCCGTAAAGTATGAAACGTTTCTGAGAAAACTCTGCATTTTGATTATAAGGTCGAACGTAAACATGCTGAAGACCTTCGTTGGCTGCAGATTAACTTTTGACTGATTTACTTTTAAACTTTACAAAATAACCAATTTAAAGGAATTTCGATGGTTCGTAAAAATAAAAAGAATTAAACAAAAAAAAATAAATGACGTAAGTAAGAATAACAAACCTACTATGTTGCGTCCAACGCGAAATTTTTGAAATGTTTGGTCGCTGGCATCGCTCTTTGTGGCTCGAGCATTAGCACAATCAACCAAGAACTAAATTATGCAGCGTAAATTTATTCACTGTTATGAATGTCAGTAAACAGACCATTTCAATCGTAACGAATACTATTGTCCAAGAATATTAAACAGCTATAGCGGAAGGAAAGAGATGTAGACAACTGATGGGAGGTCGTTCTAAACAAGGAAAATCAACTTTGGGTTTCATCATAGAACAAAAACAGTTTTGAAAGGAATACTTCTGAAAAATACAAACATGGATGTTACTATCTATCCTATTTAGCTGGCTGTTTTGTCAGATTTTGAGGCCGCGGGAGAAATGGAACCCGCTACCTTCATATTTATCAAGTGCAAGAAAACCGCCAGTTACGCGTGCCAGCTGTTAATTTATCATTGTACTTTGACGACTACTGTAGACGGATACTTAGGGGACATGACATTGCCGCACGTGAATAAACAATATCAAAAGACCAAAATATTTATCAGCGGTTATATGTTCTGTTTGTGGTATGGATTTTATGAAAATCAGAGACAACTTATGAAACACATTTCAGGTGCACTGGTAAATGCAGCAGGACGAGACTGTTTCACGTCAGTTTCAGTCATTCGCTAAGTGAAGGCGGTTGAACGCTTGAGCGCGAGGAAAAACAACTCCATTCTTCGCGCGCACGCCTTTTCGCTGATTTCCACTGACTCAGAGTATTGCACAAGCTAAGGGATTACGTAAATGACGGTAAACTCAGCTCACGGAGGAGCCTTCGTCACAAAAAGCTATTTTCCTCTCGAAGTATTAACATCATGTAATAACGAAAAAACAGTCGTTCATAAACAGCAAAAACACTTTGCTGATAGCGGTCATCATGGGGCATTATAATCCTCACTTGTGAACTGTACACATAAAGAGGAGCGTTCAACGCGTGCAGAGAGAAGAAACTTTAGCGCAAACGTTGTTTAGACGCTACAGGTAAAGCATGGAGCAGATCTTTGGCCTACAGTGTTTGTTTTAAGGCCCAAACATTCACATCATGATTACAGTTAATGTTCGATGCTAAAGTGCGTAAAAAGCAGCTTCGGGGGAAACGTTTTATACCGAAACTCCTACCTCAACCGTTCTCCTTAATTCTCTAAGTTCTTCGCAAAGTCTTCTGTTTTCTTGTTTCAGATTTTCAAGCTCCTGAAAAGTTCATTAACGAAGATGATCACTACTTCTTACTATTTAGAAGCATTAATAATAAAAGCTAACCGTTTTCCTGCATGAGGTCATTATCCGAGTCTAAACAGCAAGCGATCAAAGACCAGATAAAGCTGGCCATGTTAATACTTCAGTGACGTCGGATTAAAAGCCCCGTAATTGTGCATAATCATCGGGTAGCGCCAATTAAGGCAGTCAAACTGCAAAGACGTCGGTAAGATTCATTCAATTTTACATCAAATGATACGTGACAATGTTTAAGGGCATGTTATGTTAAAGTTCTCCCACAAGATTAACGCTTTTCCTGGATGCAAAATTTCAAGTAAGAGGATCGTCGTTTTTCAATTGGTGAGTAATATGGCTGTATTACTGTAGTTTTATTACCTTATGCAATATTTTACGACGTTTAGCCGAATTACTGAATCATTTTAAGCAAAACGGAAATATTTATCTATAACAGTAAACAAATAATGATTTACTTTTGTTATGTTCTCTAGTATGGGTAAGTTGACCTGATTAATTCTCCCTGGAATGTCAGTTAGGTGCTGTATCAGTTTGCTCACCGAGCTCGGTATATCACCAACATCTGACCGCACTAGTCTGTCAGCCTTTTAAAACAAGTGACAAGGACATTACTTTACGATTGCCGTATTTCGTTTCTTTGATATCCATTATATGATCGTGCAGAATATTTAAAGCTGAGCAGACGGTGAAGACTAAACGTTGGTTCACAGGACGACATGGCCATAAGTGAAACGTAAGTGTTAAGCAAAAGCATCCAAGAAAGGACGTTTTCCCAACCACCTGTGTGAGATGAAGGCGCGGTAAATTGGTGCGGTCAGAGTAGCGAGAACATGAGTGGTAAAAAAAATGGACATTGAGTTGTTCTTTACTTATCCTTAGTTCAAGTACTGTTTTAACTGTTAGTTCTCTTTTGACAGCGAACACTTTGAAAATTCATCTGATTCTATTTTATGTTGCTTGGAAACACCTACATGTATTATAGTTTACTTTTATGTTCTTTTATTAACGGCCCCTAAGCAGCTAAACGTTACTAATTAAGCATTACCTGTTCAAAATAACGACCCAGATTGTTCAATTCATCACGCGGGGTAGCCCTTCCCGACGACACATGACCTTCAAGGTCACATGACCCAAGAACACTTTCCACCTCTGATGTAGTCAAACCAAAATCTTGTACTAATAACAGTCGAACCTGGACAAAATCGTTTATTCTCGGTCTGACATTATTTTAACTGATTTTAGCTTAACTACTAAAGTTACTTTCGTTAGTTGTTATTTGTTTAATTTTTTATCTTAAGTAGCGAATGGTTGTTGGTCTTCTTCACGTGATACGCTTAAATTTACCACCCGTGAATTACAATTATGTTTTAAAAGCACCGTTGTTAAATGGAAACTTAAACACGGTGGACAGGTCCTCAAAAAAGAGTCAAATGAAAGGGCAACTGAAAATACTTGAATGTCGCAATTTTGCATTCATCCTTCAATAGAACTTGATTTGAAAGAAATTTTCACAAAACTATACCTTTCCAAGCTGTTCAGAAGGATCCGAAGACACCTCTTTGTTAATTTTCTACACAGCAAGACAAAGAAAATACACAAAAGAACAGGCTTTACAGGCTGGAGGGATAATAAAGTGTTCCTGCCCCAGCATGGCTGGTGAAAAGAACTTGAGGATGGCTTGTATGGTCTTGAAAATGCAGATTCTGTTCCGCATCAAAAGTATTCCAGCACTATCTCTTTCTAAAAATCCATAAATGCTGTAAAGGCTAAACGTTCATTTGAGTCGGTCTTATAACACTAGGAAAAGTGCGGAATATTGTTATTTGTGCTTCACTTTGAAATACAATCAAATTACAAATCCTACCCTCTCCGACTGCAAAATATCTATTCTTGCTTTCAATGCTGTATTGGATTCGTTCAATGCAGCAATTGTCTAAGGAAAATAAAAAAATTAAAAATTATTCAGTTTTTCTTAAATGTCACTAATTACAAACGAATTGTGCTTTACGAGAAGAAGAATGCAGGTAAGTTGGGCTTAGAACGGTCTCAGATTTAATTTTTGGAGCATTAAGGATTTTGGGGTTCGTAAGAAACTTGTAATCTAGTGATGCACTAACATGCAGTTATCCTTGGGAATTCGTTTTTGTTGAATACGCACTCGAACACAGTCACTAGTTCAACCGCTAAGGCTTTACAAGTTTCCACACTTTCTTTGTTAAGAGAGGTTTTATCCAATCTACACAAAACATGTAAACTTTGTCACTTATTTAATCACTTAAAAGGTGAACTGGATGCACCGGCCTTTTGAGGCAATTAACAGTTTTGGTCGGTGTCCGGCTACTGTTTTCCATACAAGAGAGAATAGATCTGCAGTCATATTAAATGTCCAAAAAAAAAAAAGTTTCGACATAATTTGCAGCTTAAAATGACAATTTAAAATCTGGCTTACACTAAAGAGAAGAAGAGAACATTCACGAAAAAGTTAACCGCTAAAAAGCAAAGCTATCCGACTGAAGTACTTTAAGCGAATGAAGTGTAGTTACTTAATTCTTGCCTACCACGATATTTATGATGAAGACAATTTACTATCAAAGTATCGCGTGTTTTTACCTTCTCTGCTTCCTTCAGCTGTTCTATCTTTTTCTGAAGAGTCTCGAAATCTTCTTTAGACAAATCTTTCGTCTACCAAATTAAAACAGAAAGAAAAAACCGCGTGTTTTAAAGGATACTGCACTAAAAGGAAACATGATAGAGTGCATCTGTGACCTTCAAGAAAAAGGAAAATATCAAAAACCAAGTGTTGTTCCCTGATTTTGCCACCCCCTCTCCTCTTCTAATTCTTGCGGTGGCTGCAGATAGTTTTCTTAAGCTTCGACCGGCTATATTCAATATCAAACTTCCTCTTTGCAGTCGACTAATTTTTATGAGGAAAATGCACCGCGAATGCAAACTGCTTAAAGCAACGTAAAACAAGTAGAAAGTAAGTTCAGTGACGCCCATTAGTCCTGCCTAACCTACAAGAGTTATCTCGTACGAGCTATTTTGAAATTCTACTCCTGAAATTCATTTAAAGTCACCTTCCATTTAAAGCAAATCGATAAGATTATTTATCATCAAAATTAATTTCTCCCATCCGAATACTGTCCAATTTAAATTTGATGTGTATGAAAATTATATTCCAGGCCCATGTGTCAAGAAAAATTGTAAGAGAGTTAACTTCACATTTGAATGATAAAAAAGTTCGGTAATCTATAAAAATATTCAGAAAAAAGAACTTGATTCGCCCTTTACTATTCGATGGAGTGTCTCCTCTTTTAAAAAGGGTGGATGGTGGACATAAGGTAGGAAAGATCTGCACCCACATATATATAGATAAATGGAAACAGAGCGCTATTAAGTTTGCTTATAACCCAAGTTTAACAAACCTTTGTACTGTAAAGGCTTTCAATCTTCTCTCTAAGTAGTGTATTCTCGTCTTCAAGTGTTTTCATGTTCTTAGAAAACAAACGGCAAACAATCAGTTAAGTTCGTAAGGCGTGCATATTTGATGATTTGGTTACTACCTCGGAAGACTGAAGAACTACTCAAACGAAAACAAAAAGAAAGTCCCCGTGACTTACAGAGGTAGTGTCTTCCAGAATTTGGATATTCTCCTTTAAGACTGAATTTTCTTCTTCGAGTTTTTCAACAACCTGAAAGATCAAAGCAATATCATGGTTAACGCAGCACACTCGATACTTTCGTAACTTCACGAAACTGTGAATTACTTCCACCCTGTCACAGGGAACACGAAACCTTTGTAACAATATTCGATTCTCAATTAGCACTTTCGCAACAACGTCGAAGTAAACCCCAAAAGGAAGATATATTCTCAATTATCAGTTAGCTCCTGGGAAGAACCATAATCACAATAGCTTTTTTATGTGTCATATTGAAGTCACCATCCCTTCAAAACTCTCCGATGTATACCAGTTTTGACCTCTAATAACACCTCCTTACTGGTGGGACCCCCACCTGTACTTACCCTTCCCGTTGAATGTTCCAGATCTTGTATCTTTTCCATGAGCTGCACGTTTTCCAATCGTTCTGAAGACTGAGAATAAATCAGAATTCATTTATTGTATTGTGCTAGGATTTGGGGGTTCTCTTTACTTCGAGTTAGATATCTAGACTTCACTTGAATCGCTTTTAGGAATTATGCGAGCTGGAAACATTTACACTGACCAGAGACTCTTCCAAAATCTGTACTTTTTCCTGAAGCACCTCATTTTCATCTTCTAATTCTTTTTCTCTCTTTCCAGTTTCATCTGTTATCTTGAACTGCTTTTCTGGAGAAGGGTCTTGATTGCGACCATATTCGATGTTCTGAAATTAAGAAAAATCGAAAGTCAAAAAGCGACAGCAGGTAGGGAACGATTTTTCCATGCGTGATCCACAGCTGCAGCGAGGAAGAGATTAAGCAGCAGAGAAAATTACACCAGTTCTACTTCCTTGAACTATTATCATATGTCTGTTAGTGGTTGCTCAAAATGGTTTCTTTTTTTCTATCAGCATGTGAAATGTGACGAACATCAAACTATTATACTGACTGAAGCATCTTCCAGGCTCTGTCTTTTATCTTTGAGCATGTTGTTTTCATCTTTCAGCTCCTGTAGTTTCTGAAACACCGACAAAAAAAAACAAACAAACAAACAGAGAACTTAAGCTTAAGTATAGTTTCTACTCAAAACCGGTAGTAACAATGACACTTTTATAAAGTGAAACATCACTTTCTCATTCTCAACTTCATAATATTTCTGTATGCAGTGTATATAAGTAGTCTAATCAATGTAAGCGTATCACTTTCAGACTTTTGTTAGGTAACTGGGCAATCAACCTGCTGGTAACAATAACTCGTTATTACAATGAATTTTTTGCCCTAAAAGAGTTCTTTTCGTACGTCAAAAATTACACAAAAATAGAAATCGCATACATCATTTTGCTCAAGTTCCTTGATTTGTTCTTTCAACAATGTGTTTTCACAGACCACATCATCCTAAGAAAGATACGAGATAGTCAACGAAAAAAGTGTAAGTGCGTTACAAGGGAGTTTGACTTCTTCACTCCACGAATGTGGAATTTATTAACGTAGAAGAGGTCTGGCGACTGTCAAGTCACTACGACACGTCGTGCGTAAGGTCACAGCGACAATTAACCTTCTACCACATGGGGAGAATATTTCTCTCTAGCACATAATTTTTGTGCTGCAATAAGTCGCACGAAATCAAACTGGTTTGAATATGCGTGGGACCAACAACAGCGACAAAATTCTGCCGCAGAGAGAAAGGATTTAAAAATATTACACGAAAAGAAATGTTAAGGTTCATTTATCTGGGGCGTCTACATGGGCTTGCTGTTTTCTTTCTTTGAGGAAACTGTAGAGAAACCAGTACTGGAAATCTGCATTATCAGAAATCACTTACAGCGGATGGCTCTAGAGCCTTGATTTTTTCGTTGAGAATTTCGTTCTCCTCTTCAAGTTCTTTGACTCTCTGAAACAAATTGAAGGTAAATAAGTGGAAGCAGACAGGCTGTTGCAGTACAATCGCAAACTTATTCCTAGAGAATTTTCACAACTTTTTCCCTCCTCGTGTCGCCTCAATCTCCTAACGAGACTATGTATATAAGCCAAATGGGGAATTAAAAAGATGGCCCTATCACCTCGGGTTCAGCTGACAGCATCACTGCTTGCTGCTTTAGGTAATCAATCTCCCTTTCAAGCTTTTCAGTTTCCTGAAAAAGTAACACAGGGCAAATTTCTGTGATTAAAATTTACTTTCACATTTCACTGACGGTCAGGAAAAATTCATCTTACTTTTGCCGACGATTTAAACAATTTACCCGAACAATGGATTGGTCGACAGTTTTTTCTCACTGTCTAATATCTTAGGTCTAATGTCTTGTTGTCACGTGTCTTATAGCCTAAATGTAGATCTTCAGGTCTGAAAAGTTGGAAAAAATTGCGTAGAATCCTCTTTTCCATGGACACAAATCAAACGATTGTGTCGATTATGCTCAAAAGCGTTCTTTAATAGATAGAATGGGCCTCGCCTGGCAACATTAGTCTTAGTACAAAACCAAAATTGAAGTCCTTTTCTCACCATAGTTTGTTCCAGAGTTTTTATGTTTTCTTTTAGTTCTTCATTTTCCTCTTTGGTTTTCTTCACCTCTGCATCTGAAATCTAAGCAATTGTAAAATTAACTAGGTGCAACTTAACAACTTGATCGACCCCAGGAACGGATAAAACAATTCACAAAAAGCGTTTGAAAAACAATATTACCAAGGAAGCTTCTTTAAGAACTTTGACTTTTTCCCTGAGTTCGTCGTTCTCCTTCTCTGTGTTCTTTACATCCTGACAGTAAAAAACAGCATAGATCAGTTTTATATGTGAACATAACCTTAATGTTATACCACAAACATACTCACTGCTTCGACAACTTTCATTTTCTCTTTAATTAGCGCATTTTCCTCCTCTATATCTTCCAGGGACTACGACAAAATAAAGGGCAGGTAATGAATTATAAATATCTATCAGTGTTACTATCATTGTTAAGGTCGTGATGTCGATGGTAGTGATTGTTATCAAAGGTAACCTTATCATTATCATCTTCATCTTTAGCACAGTTACACTTTTATCGTTATCATCACTATTCTCAACATCATCATCTTTATCATTATTACTGTTATTATTATTAAAGTTAACATCATCATCACCGTTGAGATACGGACGATTGTAGACGATAGAGAAAAAGGAAATATGTTAGGAATTATAAAAAAAATGTTTCGACATGTATTAAAATATCCAAGTTCTTCTTTGACTGACGAGATTTATATCTCCAAATCTCTCTCCAACTAAAGCCTTAAGTTGTCATCATATTTAGGGTTTTTCAAGTTAGACGGTGCACAACTACTGGTCGCATATCAGCAAAAACCTAAGCGTTACTTCCTAGGTGTATTTACCTGGACTTTCTCCTTTAAAAGGGTGCTCTCTTTTTCAAGTTCCTCTGTCTTCTGTAACATAAGAAATTGTACCAAACGATTCTAATCAAACAACAAAGAACAGTCCCAAGTTCTGTCTGACCTCGAAATGATAATCAATGTAAACTGTTCAGGATAAGATTAACTAACTAAAAAGTTGGTCTCCTTTTTAGCCAATTACATCTAACCCAAAGTTTACAGTGCCTTGCTTAAATGGCGTTAACCGTGCTTAACCGGTTTAGAGACATGTGTTATTCCTACACTCGTCTCATTTATTTAAACTTAGTATCTTCAGTAGAGATCTAATCAAAACATTTTATAAACCAACTGATGACTGACAGTGTAACAAAACGGATAAAAGTGCAACAGTTTATTTCTGTACCTCTTTCAGTTTCTCCCAGAGATGCCTGTTTTCTTCCTCGAGGTCTTCAGTACCCTGTTGGTGCAACGTTTCCAAATAGAGTCTTGATTTCACCTCCTCAAATATGTGTTTTTGGATCCACGAATGCAAACATTCCGTAACAGTGGTCAAGCATTGATCAATAAACCGACTGAATGCCAAACTAAGTGACTTTCTGAATTTCTATCAAACAGCAGAATGACAAACGAACCAACCAAGTGACAGACTGATTGTAAGGGTTGACTGACTCACTGACAAACCCACCAACAGACCGAACACACTTACTAACGGAATAAATGAATGAACGAACGAACAAATGAAATGAATAAATAAATGATTATTTGATTGACTGACTCACCTTGGCGTTTTCCAAAATTAGCAGCTGTTTTCTAAGCAGGTCGTTTTCTATTTCTAGTTCTTTTAAGCTCTGAAAAAACAACTACAAACGTCAAATTATTGCTACAAAAAGAAGCAGTGGATTTGAGCAGGTCATGAAGGATTTCCAACTGTTTCAAAGTAATACTCTATACATGGTATAGATCGTGATTGACCCAAACATCGGGACCGAAAGCTTGCTTATGATAAATCAGTCAAATTATTGAAAAAGAAGCAGTGGATTTCAGCAGGTCATGAAGGATTTCCAACTGTTTCAAAGTAATACTCTATACATGGTATAGATCGTGATTGACCCAAACATCGGGACCGAAAGCTTGCTTATGATAAATCAGTTTTAATGGTTGTAAGGGTTCTCTGTTGAAGAAGCTTATTTTAAAGTGGTTCTTACAATGTTCTGGGATAAAAAAGAAAAATGTTCCTCTTAGGCACAGCCAAATGCAATATTTTTCGGTGAAAAAGCACCTTGCCAATTATTGCATCCCATTTTCGAAAACAAATCTGACCTCCTTAAAAATTAATTCTTGTTTAAACTGTCCGCCATCAATTAAGAGATTGTTCCACATAAGTTACATTAAGAAAGCTAAATCGAGAGAGAATTGAACTAATAAGTATGTAGTTTAAAAAATTTGTGCTTTGATTCACAACTTAAAAATATAAATATCTGGTCTTTGACACCAATTTCTCTCTCGATCAATCTAAGTCTTTCAGCGTAACTTGATGCGAGCATATTCGGGAAATGGTTGACAGTTAAATTTCGTCATAAACATCGGACCTACTTTTGATATTATACTAAAAGAATTTCGTTCCAAGAATAAAATTGGACTCGTATGAGAGCATGGTTGAAATGATTCCATTAGAAGGGCATTGCAGGTGTTCGTAAGCGGTAACAATGAAAAGATCTGCCGAGATTTAGTTTCGAAAAGAGTCTATAGTATGGCATGTTTTGCCACATTTCTGATGTCCTAAGAAATCATCACTAAACCTTGACTAAAAGAAAGATATTGTTGATTCAGGGGCAAATACGACCGTGAAAACAAGAATTATCGAGAAATATTTGTATACTTTATAATGCCCATGGGAACAATAAGCCAACCTTGATATCTCCTGTATCTTGTAGATAGCGGTCATCTATTCCCTGCCTTAAAGCCATCAGATTCCGTAACTCAGAATCCTTTCTTTCCTTCAGAAACTTGTTAAACCGGTTCACAGCACTATCGTCACGTGGCATGTCCGTTAACACGTCTCTACCTTCGCCATCCGGGATGGGATCAGTTGCCTCGTCTGTTCGGTTCAAAACGCTGTCACTTTCATTTTGAGATGATAACAAAGGGTTATTCGCTGCGGATTGAAGAGTAGGGTCTTTCTTTAGATAAAATTTGCTCAGAGAAATATTGCAATAATTAAACCAAAGGAAAAAAACAGTCATCCATAGGAACTAAGGTAATCAACGTATTCAAGCCTTCGAACATAAGCAATTTTTATAAGTTTGTTGTCACTGTGAGCATGAAGCAAGTTAGTAGATAGGAAAGGTCTATGATTTAGATGCTGTATACCTTCGGGAAATTCTGAATGCTCTTCTTCTGCACATTGGGCTGGTAGCGGTGAACTTGTGGTGAAAGTGGCCTTTTCAGGAGGTGGCGTTCGGGACAATTCAACCTTGAAACTGTTATTAGGTTCGGTAGCCACTTTATTTTGTACAGGATTAGAATCACTGCGATTCCTCAAAACCACTTCTACGGGATTAAAGCCTAAAAAATTGGAGATGTCCGTGTTACAAAGGATTTTACAGTAAATAGGCAATTTAGACATTTCCTTTTCGATAACGTAAAATTGACAACTGGTATATGAAATAGAGACTGCCATTAGAACGTCACTCAAATTATGACCTGACTATCAAGACAATTCATGTTACAAACTGTAACAATGATTCTTAAACAGCAAATCAAAAACGTCAAAAGACTTCTACTTCCAACGTGTTTGCTTTTGTCACGTCAAAATGACTTGGTTGTGAGTAAATGTCTTTTTTATTTCTTCTTTAGAAATCCTCCTTTGCCTTTCATTCCATATCATTTTGTTGTACAGAGTATTGTGTAACTTGGAGAAATAACACCAATGGGAACTCGATGTATTTGCTTTTATAGCTTTGTAGCTTTGAGTATTGTGTAACTTGGAGAAATAACACGAATGGGAATTCGATGAATTTTCTTTTATAGCTATTTTTTTTTTTGCAATGGAGGTTACCTGTATCTTCCCGGGCCATGTTCATAGCAGACACGAACAATGGCATGTCCACGTCATGTGGATGAATTCTTCTAAACTCTGCCAACATGGCGTCGACATCAACAAGATCACATTGAACACCAATGTTTTTTAAAGAAGCAGCAGAAGCACCCGAAGGCAATAGATTCGTTTCATCATTGGACAAGAAACATCCATGTGAACATTCAGAGAGGTGTGGCATGTCGATAGGGATGTTAGACATTTGTGTCCTCTCTAGGGCATGCTCGAGGGTGGCTCCTAAGTTCGGACGATCGACTGTTAGACTTGTATCTATCTCATTAGTTTGTCTCACTACAAGATGTATGGGATTGAAAACTGTTGGAAATAAAATACAAAAGCGAATGAGCGTGACAAATTGATGGCTTTGCAAGATTGAAAAATTCTTATCAACAGCTTGACAATTCCATTCCAGACAGAAGACGTTAAGCATTGACATTTTCATTACAGGTTTAAACAAACGTTTCCATGGCTTTCGACAATGAAATTTACACCCCCTAACACTGAAAAGCTACCTAGGCCAATAAAATTAGGCCAAAAAAAAAAAAACGTTCGAAGTACATTAAAGAGCTTTTTTTAAGTATCTTAAAGCGCATCCAGAAGGCATGGGTTAAAATATCGAATAACTGAGTGATCCTTCTAACAAAGAAAAGCTTAAACCACTGTGACCCCAAGATGCGAGCCACAATATTCTTAAAAATGCACAACACATTTAACAGTTTATTTAGTAAAGTAGGGTTATGTCTATTTATTTCATGGATTAACTAAGTATATGTTTAGACTACCTCGAATTCTGTAGCAGTGATTAGTGTTTGTACAGGTATGTTTATGTGGGTATTTCGATGAGTTCTTGTTATATATCCAAAACCCAAGGTTTTAAAAGGAACTTAGTGTTATAAGCGCTATCAATAACCGCTGGCTTTTTACACGTAAGTGCCGAAACGTTCATAAATAAACTCTTAAAATGGGCGATAAATTCAGTTGTCATTACGGCAATTATGCAACTCTGAGCTTGACAAACTAAGTAATTAGTCGCTTTTCAAACTCGTAACAGGAATTGCAAATTACAAAATTACCCTGTATCAACAATGCCTGACGTCTACTTTACAACTTTAGGTCTACTTTACAATACTTGACGTTCAAAAATACAGTAACGTAGACTTGACTGTTTATTGCAATTTATGTGACGTTCATCTATACCGGCAAAGTTATTTACATGCACGTTTAAACCAAGGGACTTCATGCGTGAGAAATTTTGTTATTTTTGTTGGAATGGTATTCAAGTGATAAGTCGTAACGCTTTACACATGCAACTCTTTGACTGTAGGTCAGTATTGCCCTGCCACCGGGCCATGCTCCTTCCATGAAAATTCAATAGGATCAGCTCAGTGCATGCACTTGAATGGGAACACAAAACAGAACACAAACCTCCTGGTTGTCTCATCCTTAAGGCTGTCACAAACCACGAAGGAACATCCGCGCCTTTCTCTTCTGCTTTCCTGCTAAGCTCTTCCAAAAGCGAACTTAAATCCTCCAGGGCACATTGTACACCGATATCAGTTTGTTCTCGACGTGAGTGCGTTAAACCAACACCATCACAGGCGTCAGTTACCCCCAAGTGTTGCAAGTCAGAAAATGTTAGTTCGGTCATGACACAAGCATCTCGACTCTGACTCTCTTCGATATCTACGTCTTCGTCCTCGTTCATAATAAAATCAGGCTCGTCTAAAACAGGCAGATAGTCCAACTCTGATTGCAAATCCATAAGTGTTTCGGCGTGGCAATTCTCAGGAACAAATTCATGAAACGAAGGCGTAGCTCTCTTCTCAGACGCACTTTCAGCTTGATCTTCGAGATCTCGAATATCTGCTATTGTGAGCTCCGTTTCTGTACTCTTATCATCTTTTTCGACTTCATTATCATTTGAAAGTGCCTTTGTATCATCAGTGCAGATATCTCCCACTGTGCAAAGATGGTCAGTATCGGACTTTGTCAACTCTGTCATGACTTCTTTGTCCTCCTTAGGTGCAAGGATTCCTGATAGTTGGCTACCATTGTCATTAATACTTCTCAAAAGATTCTCAGCTTCCTCTAAGTATTCCAAATAGGCAGTTGTGAGGTCCGTCATAACCTCTGCATCTCTTGAACGAACAATTCCTGCAGCCCCTGAAGGATATTCTTGGCAAGAAAGTTCTACCTCATCCAGGTACTGTAGTTCTGGTAAGGTATTTTCCTTTTCAATGACAACCCACGATAAGTCTTTTTCCTGTGGTTGTTCCTGCTGTGGCCTCTCATACTCGTCTTCCATACACTCCATGGAGACCAAAGCCACACTTGTCACGGTCTCCACACCCCTCGTGCTATTCATTTCCTCAGAACTTCTATCAAGCTCGTTATTTTTGGAAGGACTTTTTACACCCATCAAATAATCCAAATCGTCAATCGCTAGTTCAGTCATGACTTTCTTTTCTTCTGTTTCCTGACGTGTACTACTTTCGTCTTTCGAATACTTCAAATCTTCATCGGTCGTAACTGTCATAGAGTCCTTGTCAACCTTCTCAACAGAATGTGATTTTCTAAAGTCGTCGTATTCCACCAACGTTTTCTTGTAAAGAATTTCTATATCTTCAAAGTACTCGAGAATGTTGGCTGTCATCTCGGTCATGGTGTGCTTACTCTGCATATTAACAGGCACTGAGGTGGACCTTAAACGCCGTCTCCACTTTGGTTCTTTACGTTTCTCCTTTTCAGCGGAAGCTGATTCCAGCATTCCTTGGAAATTCATATCTGTCATTGTTTCAACACTTGTCCTTTCTGGAGGGTCGTTCCTATCTTTTCTACTGTCTTTGTAAAACAGGCATTGCATGTGTGAAGCATCAACATCCTCTAGACGTTGAAGATCCAAAACTGATAAGTCTGTCATAACCTCTGCGTTTTCTTTCTTCGCAGTTGCAGCTTCAGGCTCGTCGTGTATATCAGCAAGACATTCCTCATGAGCAACCTCGATATCTTCCAAGTATTTCAAATCGGATGCAGTTAAATCTGTCATTACTTCCAAACTTTCTTCGTCCACAATTCTTAAATCTAATTCTTCTTGTTTATCAGCAAGGCATTCGTCATAAGCAACCTCGATATCTTCCAAGTATTTCAAATCGGATGCAGTTAAATCTGTCATTACTTCCACACTTTCTTTGTCCACAATTCTTAAATCTAATTCTTCTTGTTTATCAGCAAGGCATTCGTCATAAGCAACCTCGATATCTTCCAAGTATTTCAAATCGGATGCAGTTAAATCTGTCATTACTTCCAAACTTTCTTCGTCCACAATTCTTAAATCTAATTCTTCTTGTTTATCAGCAAGGCATTCGTCATAAGCAACCTCGATATCTTCCAAGTATTTCAAATCGGATGCAGTTAAATCTGTCATTACTTCCACACTTTCTTGGTCCACAATTCTGTAATCTAATTCTTCCTGTTTATCAGCAAGGCATTCCTCACGAGAAGCTCCAACATCTTCTAAGTAATTCAAATCGGATGCAGTTGAATCTGTCATTACCTCCACACTTTCTTTGTTCACAAATCTGAAATCTTCATTTCTCTCAAGAGTACATTCATTCCTCGGCCCTTTCACAGCCTCCAAGTCATTTAACTCCGATAGAGTGAGATCAGTCATGGTTTCAACACTATGCTTCTCAGCAAAGCACACTTCATTAGCCGTTTCAACGTTTTCATCGTACTTAAGATCAGAGACTGTAAGATGTGTCATTGTCTCCACAGTTAACATTTCCACTTCACTCTTTTTATTGTCAAATTCTTTGCTTTTTCCTCGCAAACACTCTTCGTGTGCAGCGTCAGTGTCTTCTAAATACTGCAAATCTAACATCGTGAGGTCAGTACAAATCTCCGCATCATACCTCTGCTGACATTCCTTGTCAGCAATTGCTTTTTCGTCTTCCCTTCCATTTAAACATATTCCATGTACCTTCTCTTCTTGCTCCCAATATTGTAAACCACCAGTAGTTACCTCTGTAGCCACACACTTGTCTACTTTAGAACATCTCTGATGAGGTTTTTCAGTTTGTTGCAGAAGCTCGAGGACGGGAACTGTTAAGTCTGTCGAGGTCGTCTTGTCCGTTTTCTCCGCACTGGACCCCAGGAGACTATATGACCCTTCTAACAAATGATCGAGGTCTGTAACTATTAGATCTATCGCAGTGTATTTCTCTTCTTTTCCTACCTCTTCATCAGCACCAGCATTCGTCTTTTGTCTGTAAAGCTCTTCTACTTCTTCAAGGTACTGAAGATGATCATATGTAATCTCTGTCATGCTCTCTTGTTCCCATTTTTCTACCACCGGTGGAGTTTCTTCTTGACGAGCAGCATTCTCAATGTAGAAATCTTCAAGTTCCGAAAGCTCGACAAACGTCAGTTCTGTCATGCATTGCCGCGACTCTTTTTCAGCATGACTTACCATGGAATTTGAATCTGAATCCGCATCATGTAAATGTTCCTTATACAAACTTTCCAGATCAGCAAGATCTTGCATAGCTATATCCGTGATACTCTCTTTGTCATCTTTCTCCACTTGAAACTGAGCAAGTTTGTTTTTCATTTCTTCCAAGTTCTCCCTGTAATCTCTGTAAGTGTTCTTTAGGTCCACCACTTCTTCCCACACTCCGTGAGTCGTTCCGCCCTCATCTTTAGTCTCAGCCCCTGGATAGGTCTCGAATACAATCTCTGGTAATACATCGTTGTCCAAAAAATCTGTTTCACCTGTTATGGTTTCAGCTTCTTTCGTATCAACACTAAATCTGGCGTCGACGAGATCTTGCAAAGAAAGCTCAGTGAAACTACTTTTGTCCTTCTTTTCGACTTCAAAAAGGGAGATCTTGTCTTCAAGTTCACCAATAATACACTCATAACTATAACATTTTTCTTGTAAACTACCAATATCATTCCACGTTAACTCTGTAGAGCAACTCTTCTCTTTTTTCTCGACGTCAAAAAGAGCAATCCTCTTTTCCAGTTCTTCAAGACCATGCTTGTAATCTACACATTTGTCATTCAACTTCGCTATGTCATCGCATTTCAACTCTGTCATCTCGCATTGATCTTTTGTGCAAGTGGGATCTTCCGGAAATGTGTCGTGCACAATCTCAGGTAAAGTTTCCACCAATTCAACAGATGAAAACCCTACCACCTCGTCCTTCTCCGTTACTACATCTGATTTGTCTTCGTGAGAGTTTTCGATAGATTCTAAGTATTTAATTTCCATGAGGGCAAGTTCTGTCAAGCTGAGGTCGGTCACAATTCCTACTTCATGTTTACGACTTTCTATGTCCATGTCCCTCTCACTAATCCCTTTGGGTAAAAAAGAATTCGTTTTTTCGTTTGCCTGTTGATCTAGTTCTTCTCAGGTTATTTCCATCATTGTGTCACTAACATCCCGGCCCTAATCAATTGCCCTTATTTCTTGTTTTTTACTTTCTAATTCCTCAAGATTTTGGCAATGAACGTCTGTCATTGTTTCATTAACTACAGTATCTACCTCACCTTTACCTTTTCCATGTGTAAATGAATGAACATTTCGATGGGATTTTTCCAACTCTCCTGACTCCCGCCAAGCAAGATCGGTCATGAAATATTTATCACTCTTCCCATTTGTGATGTCTCTCTCTGGAAAGCAGTGAGGATAATTACTACCCACGCTTTCAAGACCAAACAAATCTTCCCCGGTCAAATCTGTCATACTACAGGTGTCTTCTGTAAGCACTCTTGCGTACTTTAGATAATCCATTGCTTCTATTCGCTGCTCTCGGTAGTGTTCAGTGTTATCCAGCTCAGTCCATTGCAAGTCTGTAAGTGTCTCTCGATCACAGGTGGGTACTGAAAGGCTTCTGGTCTCATCAAGGTCAGACTTCAGGGACTCGCTGTTGTACTAGTTACAATGCAAAATTGTTAATTTGATAGTTAACTAATCATGAAGAAAATTAAAAAAATTGACTAAAACAATATCAGAGAGGAATGCTTAAAATACTCCACCTTAACCCCAAAAAAGGCACTTGTTTCATAAAGGGAGATCGACAATGACGGTATCGTATTCTTCCTTTTTTTTTTAATCAAAAAGGTGATTCTTATGACGTTTTGTGGGTTTTATTGTAAAGAAGACTTTGCCAAACCGTAACAGCATCAAATTTTGTGCACTATAATCAAAGCAGAGACATACCCCTGACACTAAGTTAAGCGGGCAGAGAAATAACTTGCACAAACGTAACCGGACTAAACATAGAGAAATAATTTGGATATATCAACAAAGTTGAAATGGTAAATTGGCCACCGCAACGATTACAAAAGCTGACGTTTCGAGCGTCAACTTTTGTAATCGTTACGGTGGCCAATTTACCATTTCAACTTTGTTGATATATCCAAATTATTTCGTTACCCCCACCGACGCAGCCCCAAACAGTTTCTTTCGAAACTATCAGCCTTTAAACATAAAGAAAAACTCAAACGCCTGGATCAAATGGAATATATTTCCAAGACGCAGTAAACAAAAGGTATAAGTGAGCTCTTATTATTGGTAGAGAAAAAAGATTTGATAAACTTACACCCAAGTCCAAGTCTCGAACTTTGTCTCTTAAAGCCATCTCAGTAATCTCCATGTAATGGATTTTCTAATTAATAAAGAATGAAACACGCAAAATATTTTTGTCAGGAGTATGCGTACCCTTAAACAAAGATTGAATTTACCAAGTTATTCATACTGCATTGCAGTTGGCAAACCTTTCTTCGGAAGAGAAAAGAGTAAGCGAGAGAAAATTTTTACCTCATCCATTGATTCCAGCATGACTCTGGCTTGTTTAAGGGCACTTTGTTGTACTGGAGACAAGACATCGTCCTAAAAATGATGCAATTCGTCAGCCAGGTACAGTTACACGTGTAGCCAAGAAACAACTAGCACCTGACACATACGAATCAGGGCAGAAAAAGGCCGTGCCAACATATTAATATCCATTGGCACACTGAAGTTACTTTGAGTGAAAGTTTTGGGATAAAACCTGTTCGAGGTGTCCAGTTTTTAAATTTAGTAAACCGCCAAAAAGTTGTAATTTTGATATGGTTTGAAAGGCTGCGCTGCAAATATTCTCAATAGAGAGTCACGAAATTAACTGACCACAGCAAACAAATATACATGGAAGTTGAATGCTGCCTGTACATCTCCAGCAGTTGCAATATCAATAACGCAAGCCCACGTTTGGCTCGACTATACCTTTTCCTTTCCAAGTTCCTCAAGAAGGGCTTTAACTTCCTCTAATGTAAGAACAACAGCACCACTACCCTAAATTAAGGAAAAGTACAGAAACCAATGAAAAACTCTTTAACTTTATGGACGAACACAAATTTTCAGTCTGGGTACAGGAACACTACTCTGTTAAATGAACATGAAGATGACAAAGTCAGTCTGGGTACAGGAACACTACTCTGTTAAATGAACATGAAGATGACAAAGTGACTGACCAGCATTCTCGGCGATAAAAATGATTCAAGGCCATTTCTTGATCTTCTGGAATCCCAGTCCTCTGATCCAGCAGTCTAAAAAGTTTTTATAGTGGTAAGTCACATCTACAATCTTTCTCCAAATACAGTCGTTTTTCAAGACATTTTCCTCCCAAAACCCTCCACTTATTCTACCACAAAATTCTTTTTCCTCTCTGTAATTTTAGCCAATCATTACCAAAACATTGCAAAAGCAACACCAAATCAAGTTTTCCATTATAAAGTGCACTTCATATATTTACTTATCATTAACGTTTTTTTTTTTTTTCAGTTTTTAAGAAATAGAAATGGTCAGAAATTGTTTAGCTAGGCGGCTGGAAAAGATTTTTTGTCTTTGCATGAAAGAGAAAATTCAGGATGACACACCAACAGGAAAAACTCGTCTGTATCACTATCAGCAAGCAAGTTCTTGCACAAAGCGTAGTCCTCTCTCACTTCACACAAGGAGCATTTTTTTATCCAGTTTTATACAAGACTTCATATTAAGCATCTTACAGATAACTGTGACATTTCTTCCAGTTCGAATTCCAGCAGATCCCTTTGATCCTGTAACTCTCGCATGTCCTGAATCGAATATACACAGGGTGGTTGGAAAAAAGTATTTAGCACAGTCAAGTCTTTGAATTAACAAAACCATACACAAGACAGACAAAAGACGAATTTCAATACAGGTCTCAAAAAGGTTGCTATTACTTTGTTTGAATTACCTCGCAGTATTTATCCAGCTCGCTTTGTGCCTTATCTCGTGCCTGTTCTGCTGCCACCAGCTATAACATAAAACAATAGAGTGGTTGTCAGGAAAGTGTGCATTTGTAGAAACATCATAAATGCATGTCAAGTGATGTCAGCTGGTCAAGAACATTTGTATCAATAACAGCAGCAAAATCAATACTGATATACTTTTGACTGTATAACCACTGATACCTTTTGATACAAAGCCTTGTTGTCTTCTTGGAGATTAGATATTTGTTGTAATCCAGAACCCTACAAATAAATTTTAACATTTGTGAATATGACAGATTCTGTATATCGCAGACCCCTGCTTAAATAACAAATTGCTACTAGGATAAAGATAATCACTCATTATTTTCTCATATATCATAATCTGCCACCAGCTGTTAAAAAGTTTTTATATTAATAAAGCACACTAAACCAATGGAACATCTAGTGTCCTGGGTAAAAAAATTTCCTCATGGCCTGACCCTAATGGACATGTGACAAGTGTCTTCATACAAAAAAGAATTCAAGGTAGAGCAACAGCACTCTACAACACATATATTACAAACAAGAAGCATGTTATATCACCTGTCCACTGTCTATCATTCTCTCGAGTTCATGAATTCTTGTTTGACTTTCAAGCAAGTCTGACTGAAGCTGCTGCTTTGCCTGTATGAAAAAAGAACATTGTTTTGGAAGTAGATACTTGAGAACACCTTGTGATACTGTTCATAAAAGTAAATGTTCAGATAAAGGGTTTAGCTAAATTGAAGATAGCTTGAGGTTTTGTCAAACTACGGCTAAACTTCATCATCCCTAATTAGTCAATTATAATGAAGAACCATGCTTAAAAAAGTGTAAAATGTGATACCTGAACCAAATGAACATACCATCTCATCTCTTTCAGCATCCACTGCACTGCTTACTTGAGCTTGGAGAAGTGCATAAGCTCGTTCTAAAGCCAAAAGCTCTTTTGCAAGCTTTTTGATCCTTTTGCTGTCGATATCTTCACTAGATGACTGAAGATAATTGAGAAAAATATTCATTATTTTTTATATATAAAGGAACTAACCAGGAACTCAGGAAAAAAAATGCCATCTCAAGATCACTTATTACAATAAAAGCACCAAGTGCATAATGGTATCACACTGAGAAAGGTCTATACCAAAATAAAGTCCTTTAAGTTCATAGCTTGAACATGGGTACAATAATTTGAGCCATATGACAGTTTTCTGATCCCTATGAAGTTTTTAGGATTGATGATTATTGCATAATTGTGTAATACTCATACTCATAAACTAGAGAGTTACAATTCTATAAATTTTGTCTTGTGTTGTGAAGCTTACTTATGATATCAGAAATGCTACAAAATTAAATTTCATGCATGGATTGACAAGTAACAAACATAGATATGTCTGTGTGTATATATATATATGTGTGTGTGTGTGTTTGCTTGTATGCATGTAGGTGTCACAGGCACAGAATATGGAAAGTAATCACAACTCAACTAATATTCTTAGATTCTCTTAGAGTATTAGTTTGTTTTTACAGTGCACCTTTTTCTTTATACAAGTCATAGCATATTACATATCTGTTAGCTTCAACTTTGTTGGTATATTTTAGAGACAGAAGAATGCTTTGTCTTGAACCAGAAAATTGTTTTCTTGGTGGTTACTCAACTCTGAATCAGTACATAGATACTTAATGAGGAAGTGGAGGGGGACAGGGGGTGGGAGCCCAGGAGAACAAAAGGCAGGAGAGGGAGGGAAGCAGGAGAACAAAGGGCGGGAGAGGAGGAAAGCGGGAGAACAAGGTATTTACATGGAGGGCAGGAACTGGGAGCAGAAATAAATAAGGCGATAGTTTGTTGCTTATTACCGGGTATTACTCGGTCATAAACACTTATCTAGCAAGGTTCTAAAATTTCCAGTTAACATCTACCAATGCTTAAAAACATTTTCGGAGGCAAGAAAATGTAAATTTGTACCCGGGCTGGAGAAACAGCATTACTTCCTGTTAAGAAGACGTTAATGAACTTGTGTGCGTGCAACTCATGTGCGCATGCTTTGGGACTACGTAGGCTAATAATATCGTAAGCAAATCACGCAGACCTTTTAATTTTGACATGTGCAATTTTTTAGAGAGAGTTGAAAAGTTTTTAGTTTATCGAGAAGCAGTTTTGTTGAATGGTCGTTGTCATTTACCGTGAGTCTACAGTTTACCATGTTGGAATTAAAGTGCTTGTTTGGATTTCCCGTTTCACTTCCAAACACTTCCGGCAAATTTGTGAATCCCTTTAAATTAATTACATTATTGGTCATGAGATAGCATGACATGCACAGTGTCTGGTAAGTTGTAGCTGTCGAAAATCTCCAACAAAGAAAGGGATTCAAGGTCATTCAGGTCAATTGTGACAAATGTCGTCAAAGACCATATCAATCGGTCTCAGTATTTTCCATTGTGGCCACGAAAAATCCGTTCATGGAAGACCTTCTTAGGAGCTCGCTTCTTATGACTGCATCTCCCAAATTACTGAAGATTTTGCCTCATGGTGCAAACTTGTTTCAAAGGAATGCTGCTTCAGTGAGCGACGATCAAACTGTGATAACCGAGTTAGGGAAACTTAATTTAGTAAGAAAACTGACCAGTAGTAGCTTTCATCAGGAACTAATGATCCCCAGCCAAAACAAAAGGCCAGCCGAAATGAACAAGAATTTTAACTTTTAGCTCTGTTTGAAAGTTAAACCCAGGTTTCTGATCCTCTTGATTAACCTGAAGATGAGAGCAACACAATGGAGGGCGGGAGTTGGGAGGCAAGGGGGCACACAAGTATGGGAGGCGGGAGAGCGTGGCACAGGAAGCAGGAGACTCCGGCCCCCCTGTCCCCCCCTCCACGAGGAAATAGGTGTAAAAAATAACAATTATCAGATATAAATTAAAGTACAAATGCTTTACCTTGGTCTGCTATCAATACATTAAAACATTTGAATTCTGTCCATCAGATATTTCACGCAAATCAGCTAATGTCATAGTGTCATTTAACATCGTATTGCTCAGCAGGAAAGACCATATTTACTTCTCTTCACTTCATTTGTTGACAATGAATACGATAACTATTATAATAAATAATTGTAGGTATACTAATTATGGATAACCCCTTACAGAAAATAACAAATACAGGGAGACATTTAATTCAGAAAAAAACAAATTTTTGTACAACACTACACTAACCATTTCTGAAGCTTCACTTAAGTCAGAGTTAACTGATAAGGCATCATCATCAATTACTGGAAAAAGATCTGTGGGTTGCAATGAGTGGCTAACCTGAAAAGAATGCACTCATTAACTGCGATGGTCACTATACCTGAAGTCTTATGAAACCTGACCACTTGACATGTACAATCTGTTTGATTTCTGATGATTGACTTACTGGTTGCTGCTTGCTTTTTTTCTTTCTGCCTCTTAAGAGCTCAATTCTTCTGTCTTTCTCCTTAATAAAACAAACAATTATTGAATTCTATCGCAAAACATAAAGAAATATTGATGGTCTATACCCTGCAAGCAGTCAATTTGAGTTGGGTAGTAATTTTGAAATCAGCACATGGACAATCCCAGGCAATATGGCCTCCCCATGAGACAATAAAAAATTAGTAAAGGGCTCTATTAGATACATACTGCAACTTCGACTTAAATTGTATAATCGACTTTCAGGTATACTGACTTTCATCCATACTTGGGGAGTATCAAATAAGGTATATATTACTCAGTTTTAGCTTGAGCATAATCAGTTGGTGGGTTTAGACCAACCTAGTTCAAAAAAATATTTGGAAAATTATAAGAAAAATGTTGCATTATTAACAGTAATTAACATTGTTGATATCTTTTGGCAAAAAATAATAATACTTCAGCAGCAAAAATTATCATAATTATCATGCTTTCACCAATGCAATACAAAATATCTTTCCTTAACTGACCATTATGCTTTGCTTCAGATCTGCAATAGTCCTGGTCTGCTCTCTTACTTGGGCCTTTAACTCACCAAGTTCATCCTTTTGAAGGAAATACCAATTTATCGTAATAATTCAATCATACATACCTTTATCTGTGCAAATCATTATTATCCATGATAATCATTGTAAAAATCAAGTTTAGGACTAGATCTTTTTTTGTTCTGAACAGAACTATTTGTTAAGTGAGATGCATATGGCCTGCTTACTCTTGTCAAGTCAGAAATACAAGTAATTATTATCAATTCTGTTAGCACTTGATGATGCAAAAACTGATTAGAATTTGTTTTAAATGCTCTGAAAATGTCCCATTTAATATCTCAGAGGACTTGTAACATGATCTTTTAACAATTTCTTTTTTGTCATAGTATCATACATTTGTCTCATGAACAGATGCCAAGTCCACATCACAAAATTTAAATATTTAATACATATCTCACTGCTGTAACAATTAATTTTTCTACTTAGTGGACAACATAGTACTACTGCAGTATGCACGTATAATGTATGTATGTTAAAAGCCTCATATACCTCGTTATTTGCAGGTCCCCTTTGTTTTACGCTATTTTCCTTCCTCCTAGTTAAAGTCTTTTTCTGTGGCATGATAAAAAACAATTTATTAAAGAATCAGGCAACATATGTTCATGGCATGTTTAAAAATTTTCTTGACCAGTAATATAAAATGAATGGCTAAAAAAAAAATAACATGTCGCTATACATATTATTCAAGAGTAATGACCCACTCAAATTTAGATACATACCTCTCTACTCAACACATCAGTGCAGCATAATTGAATTTCACTCTAAATATCTCATTATCTTGCAATTCTCCTTACTCTCCTTACTCCTTATTCTGCCATACAATTCTTATGATCTTAGTTCAGAAAAATTACTATTGAATCAGCTAATAATTCTATAATTGATAAATATTGTTAAATTGATATTGTTAAATCCATTAATTTTGTTCTCATCCCTTGTCTGCTTGATTTTTTATTTGACATTGCAAGGAGAAATTCTGTCTTGATCACTCAAGACAGTTTAGGGGTTAAATTTGCTAAACTTGAAGAATATGAAAGATAGATTGTATGTGTTTCACTTTTGATATCAATAGTTAACTTACCAAAGAGTTAACTTCATCAAGTAACAATTTGTTTCGACTTTCAAGCCTTTTGTTTGTTTGGGCTAAATCGGTATTCTTTCTTTCAAGCTTTCTGTTTTTTTCTCTGTTGTCCTTTTCAAGTTTCTCCAACTCAGCCAGCTAACAAAATACAGATAAGCAGTATTAACTTTAAATTTAAAAGACTACTCTGTACCTACACTGAGAAAATATTTGTTTGTAAATCTTGATTATATAGAGAAGTGCATGATATTGAGAACCTTACAGTGCTGTGCAGTTCTTTTACTGGGATCACTAAACCAAAATTAACTGATTGTGTTATCACAAACAAATAATTAATGACTCCTAGTAAATTTAATGGAACCAGTTTTTGCTTAGTGAGACCAAATTAACCAAAGATGACAAAAGGTATGCGGATGGAATTGGTCAGTTCTAGGTGACCATGTTAATGGTACTGGCATTGTAATTCCCTGATGAATATCAGCTGGGTGTACCTGGCTCCTTTCGAAACAATTGAGTACAAGTTTGATCAAGCCTTTCTTTCAGACAAGTCATAAATAAATACTAATTAAAATTAAAAGAATGGAAGGAAAATTGCTTGATGTCAAAATGTGAATCGATTGTCATTTGCAGACAGTATCTAGTAATCTTTGCCCCAAATTAGGCACTCTGAATAACTTGAGCCAAAATTTTTTGTGAGGTTCATTGACTACTTCAGGAAGTTTCTTGAGTTTGTACTATGTCTACATGCATTCCACAAAAAGACAAACAGGTAACATCAATTGAATGTCAGTAAAACCCGATTACCTGTACATTTCTGAAGTATTTCTGGAGCCAATCATAATGATTAATTCAACAATTTCAGTAAACCAACCAGCAACTATGATCCATTTTACCTGCCAGGGTAAAATTTCTAGTAACCCCAGCAAACATGCAACAGTTCATGTCAACCCCTGGGTACTAAATAGTTGCATTGAGTCAGTCATGTAATGATAGAAAGTCAATTTTTGTCTTACTCTTCACCAAACCTTATAATTTTTGCATCGTTTCTTCAACATTTGCATAATGTGACTAGTTAACAAATTTATGACTGTGTACCCACTGATCTGAGATAATTTCTCTAGATTTATAAATACACAATCATGACTGTACTATTTAGGTGGCATAGTAAACCATTTCTCAAGAAAAGAAAAGTTCAGAATTTAAAAAGAAGAACTGATGTTGACAGAAGCAGGTTGTTCACACATGACAAGTCATGTTTTGACTGGTGTTAAAACTTACCAGTTCAGCATTTCTAGTTGCCAGTTGTTGATTTTTCTCATCCAGCTTGCGAACCAAAGAACTAAGTTCTACATTCTTTCTCTGCAGCATTCTCAATTCTTGACTATTCCCTTTTGAATCCTGTAAATAGAAGTATAATTTGTGTACTGTGAGCATGTGAATTAACATAAACACTTCAATTTGTGAGTCAGTTGAAAGACTTCAGCTAAAGCAAAATGGTGTAAGTTATGATTCAAATAATCTTGGATATTCTGTACCATTTTTCAAGATTTCTGTTAACACAATTGTATCGTGTGATATCAACCTTAGTCATTCCTTATGGCTCCAGGCAAACGCTTTTGTTTGCATACATTAAACTAAATTGATGATGACATTTTGTGGTTTCTTTTCTTGAACAAACAATTCTCTAATATTCATATTTTATCGATACATAAATTTCAATATTGACACCACCTAGACTGCAGGCAAACCTCCCTCAACTTCACTTTTAGATGAAATTCATGCAAAGCAGTCACAGATCCCAGGTCAGGTAAAAAAAACTGAAGTCAGAAGCGAAATTTTTTATTTTGAAAATTTTAAGACAAAATATAGCTAGTTAGAAATTCACTGACAAAGGCAGAAAATTAATGAAGCTTGCCCAGTAATTTTTAAGTATGTAGGAGAAAAGGTTAACTACAAACAACTAACTTGCAGCCAAACATTTTTACCATATAAAATTTTGATACAATAATTATTGCATTTTAAGAATGCTTACTTTGTGTCTGTAATAAACACTCAAACCACTGGTTACATCATTTTCCATTTTTAGACTTATCGCTCACCTATAGACATGATAACTATTGTTTAATTGATTGTTTTTAATCCCACTCACATAAATCTGCATGCAAGTTATATAAACATCAATTGATCAATCTTAGTAGAGCCATCATAATTTATCCTTCAACTAATTCGTCTTAAATATCAAAGTGTAAACTATGAAAGAGTTCACAAGCATATCTACTTTCCACATATGGCAACTCCCACCAACAAGGTCCATAAAAAAACAGGTTGACAATACTGGAAAGCTCACTGAATTCCAGATGGCAGTTTTGTCACACTCAGATCCTCCACATACACTGTCTTTGAGGAACCACAAAACTACCTGCTGTGCAGATTGTTAATACATACATACATACATACATACATACATACATACATACATACATACATACATACATACATACATACATACATACATAAGCTTTATTTAAACATGGTATCAATTCCCTATAAAATAATTATGCTCTTTCATCAAGCTGTGTGCAACTTAAATATACAAATAATCATTCATAAGCAATCTAGAACAAGCACTATTTCTACTAATTAGTACAACTTATATTAACATATGCTAATACTAATATTCCAATACTATATTCCAACTGCAACGCTAAATCTAAAAACTAATACTACAACTTGTCATACAATAAGAGCTATTAAATACTAAAATAAAAAGATCGTTAAAATTATAACAAAAAGCAATTACTATGTCAGCAGGGATTCTTTGAAGGCAGTAACAGTGGTTTGAGTTTTGCTAGTAGTTGAGAGGCTATTCCATAGTATAGCACCTCGATAGTGCAGGCTATGTTTTCCGGCTTCAAAGAGTGGTCTGGGAGTAAAGAGATTATGAGCCAAGTCCCTCAAATTATAGGTATGGACTTGCGATGTTGTTTGAAAAAGATTATGAAGGTTAATCAAGATACAGGGATCAAAATGTTCCAAGTATAACTGTTAAATCCATTTTCAGGGAAATTTAAAGACTTCCACCACTAAAATTAGTTAATGGGTTTGGGGAAAATAAACAAATGGACATGAAAAACATAAAAGGAAAAGATAGAGAAACAAGAGATACATACAGGAATTCCTGGCAGGGTTGTCTGCTCACTTTTCCCACTGGACATCATTCTGTCCCAAGTATCAAATGTTGTGGATTTTTTTAACATGTCATGTAAGTTGTCCTTTTCCAGTCTGAGTCTCATGGAATGCCCAGCTTCTAAACCCAGCTTCTTTTCAAGTTGTTCAATTATGTTAAGCAACTGACGAATTTCAGCCATCTGCAAGATTGAGTTATTATCTGATATCAAAAAAATTGTGCCATTAACTTCTGAGATCTTTGGTTGTCCAAGTTCTGATGCATCTAAAGAATGTCTTATATATCCCAAGTGCAGTATCAGTCCATTACAGCTAACCTTTCCTTATAACAACTTTACATGGATGTGTTTTTTATAGCATAACAAGGGTTAGAAGCAAACCCATTTCACTAGTTATTCATAGCATTTGGACTAATTAATAACATTAAATGTGAATTACATTGGAATATATTGGAATACATTGAAAAATGTATGACCCCGTAAAATGTCCTGAGCTCATTTTTTAAATGTGAATTTTCACCAAAAGTGCTTAGAAACGGGAAACTCCCATTTTCTTTTTGGTAAAAGGCTGATAGTTTCTTTTTGGTAGTTTGGTGTTTTTATTGGACAGGTATATATACAGGTGACACAAAAACTAAATGCTTACTTGCTACTGATATAATAATCAAAAGACTTACTTCTTTATTTACAAGAAAAAAAAGAAAACTAAACAAAACAAGAGAATAACATCCTTGAAATATACATGTAACGCGATATATCTGATTTGAAATCGAACACTCCTCTGCTCATGTTTGATATGGTAATAAAATAACAGAAATTCGTGTCATGAAAGGAAATTATTTTTAGAGGAAAAATATCAGAAAAATCTCAAACCCTTTGAAAAATTGAAGATAGTGATTAATTCCTCATGAGGTGTGTTTGAATCAAAGATCAAAGAAATTTACACGACATTACCTTAGGCGATAAAACAGGATTGAAACACTTTATACTCGCAATATACAATATACAGGTAATAAACGATCACATCCTCAGATAAACTCCAGGCTGGATAAACTCAGCTTTGATTAGCTACGAGACTAAAGCTTCAGAATAATTCATTATCTTCAAGTGTAAACAAACGAATCAGACGAAATATTATCCCTTTAGAGTGTACAAAACGGTTACATGCCGAATTCGAATATCGGCATCATGCTGTCAAACAAACGATTAAAGCCCAGAAATCTCACAATATCAGTTCAAGTGAGGCAATTATAAATAAAATTAAAGTTAATCAATAAATTACCTGCTGCCTGCTCTCTTGCCATGAATTTCTCTTAAATCTATCCAGTTCTGCTTCATGTTCGTGGTGTATTCTTCGAATATCTTCTATTTTTCTTTTATCAGCATCCTGGACAAGCTTAAGTGTTTCATCCAACTCACGTTTCTGTCGATGAAGATCTGCAATTTCCTGCTCCATTCTACCGCGTTCCTTTTCAAATTCTCGTTTGCTGTCTTCCCGCGTTTCGCCACGAAGTTCATTACGAATCTTCAATTTAAGTTCGTCTTTTTCCTTTCCCCAAGCTTGTTGAGCAGTTCTTAAAAGCTCGTCCTTTTGTCTTATTATCTGCGTTATTTCCTTTTCTTTTTCCTTACGAATCTGTTCTTTTAAAGCCGTGAGCTCATTTATTTTTTCTTTGTGAAGTTTCGACTTTAATTCGGTTTGCATGGCGATCGCTTTTCGCTGTTCTTCGTCTCGCACTTGTTTGACAACCAATGCCTTGTCTCTCCTCAGATTTTTTGTAAGCGTTCTCTCTTGTTCCAATTCCTTGTTAAGTTGAACAATTCTTCGTCGCATATCATCCATGCCTGACTTTGAAGATGAATTTAGAGCAGCGAAACTGTGCTCATTTGTCGTGGCTTGTGGTGTATGTAGTGGCTGTGAACCTGGTCGCCTCAGATCAGTCACTTTCTCACCTTCAGGTTCTAGATCCTTCCACGATTGACTTTTACTCATTTTAAGTTTGCAGAATTGCTTTCTCCTGGTAATCTGGAGTTACCGTATCGGTCTCTTCGCTCACCATGACTGAATTTTATTGAGCATCACACATCCTTGTGGACTGAGTCCACCTCTTCGTTCTTTGTCCGTGCATGACAACCAGATATAGTTTCCCGCTCAAAACTTCTACCCAAATCGCGGAAACTTCTACCCAAATCTGCCTAAGTGTCGATCAGGGCGCAAATTTTCACGGTATTATTGAAAATTTCAAATTGTTCTTAGATTGATGTAATAATAATGGTTAGAGTCACTACTACTTCTATGGATAGTAGAAGCTTTCGTGACGCTTGATGGAGCCGTTTGATTATGGGGGCTCGAGGGGGGTGGCACTACAAGGGAATTCCAAACTCTCTCATCCCTCCAGTGGAAATCACGTCAATTTATCATCCCACCATCCCACCTCCCACATGTTAGAAGTTTCTTCATTTTCCAACCTCGACTACTCTTCGTCAATTCTGGCTTATTCCATTGAAAAGGGTTTTTGAATAACAACGGAGTTTTGCGGAACTTCTTAAGAATACATTGTTGTTATACCGAAAAAAAGGAAATGAGGGGCCCCCTGCGCGAAAAAATTCCACTTCCGTTGCTGTCCATTGCTTTTGCCCATTGCAGAAACGTGAGAGGACTGGGACGAGTTTCTAAAACATTGAAAATTTAAACATTTCAACTGAAATGTTACTGAATGAAAAGCTACCCAGTCAAGTTTGAAAGTTTTCAGCGGAAAAGTGCCCAAATCGGAGCCTTGCAAAAGTTGCAAAAATTCCATACAAACCCTTAAAATTTTTTGGCCTGCCTACCCAATCCATACAAACTCTCTACTTTAGGTGATAATTTTCCATTTTCCTCCGCTAAATACTTCTATTCTTGCTTAAGACTCTCAAATTTAGTTGATCTTTCTTAGTTTTTCAAACAAACAGAAAACAACTACACTCTTTCCCAGTCCTCTCATGTTTCTCCAATTAAATAGACTATTTCGTCCGGCTGTAGTCATGTGACAATCAATTGACCTTTTCATTGGCTAATCAAAGAGAATGTAAATATAGCCTAAAAAGTTTCAGTTTAGCGATCAAAACAAAGGCAGAGTTTCGCTTGGGCTAAGGAAGATTATTGTGGCTTTTTTGGTCGTAGTTTGTAGTCGCATTTACGGTTTTATTTTATAGGTCAATAACTATGGCAAATACTGTAAATGGTGGTAGTCAAAGCTCCACTGAGTCTTTGAATGGTGAGAATTCTCAACGTGTGATGCGCGCTGACGAACACAATTTGTCACTGCGTCAGAATATCGACATCATATGTCGGCGTCTCTAATCTTGACTGTCTTGATTTTAAAGGCTCTTGGGTGAAGCTCGATGGCTCATTTAGAAATGGCAATGGAGCTCAGCATTCTCCAGTTATCTCGGAAGATGGGACAATGGAAGATCTTCTTGCCGAAGCGGTACAAGAACAGTTGTCTAAACAAGGCTCGAGGTGGGATTTGAATGTTTTACTCTAGATGAAGAGATGGGCATCGTCCCACTGACACTCAGTTCATTTTACGCAAAGGCTAATGCTTTGAGTGTTTGTCTCAGGCATCGCTATGATAACTCTCCCTTTTTATTAATTGTGTTTAGTGGCGAAAAAAGCCCGTCTGGTTCACCAAGGGAGCAATGTCCACCAGGCAACTTACGAACGGTGCGTGTAGTTATTGTCGTCTCATTCATGTTTGCCCGATAGTACTAATCTTCAATTCATTCACATATTGTTTTTGGGCTTGCGATCAATTTTACAAAACACGGGTTTTATTCTAGAGAAAGATTAACTAAGTGCATTTAAGATGTTTAGAGAGGTATTATTCAAAGAAGTGAATTTGTGGTGTCAATCGCAATATTCGTTGTAGACTTCGACAATGGGATCATGATATAGATACATAAGAGAGTTCTAAAACATTCTTCACATTCATGTTACATTAACAGGCACATATTTGTTTTAAAAAAGCGATCTCAATCATTCTTTAGATTCATTTAAGTAAAACTACCATTGCTATTGTTCGGGGGCAAGGACGAATTAAGATATAATTTTGTTACAGCATTGTAAGCCATTTTTGACAATACCGGGTTGCGCTGGATTTTCCGCATTGTTATGAAATACAAGCTTCGTTCAGAAACTTCTGTTACTTAGCCATATAGCAAGTAAGCCCACATAGAGTAAGAATGTGCGAACCAGAGAGGTTTTAGATATTAATTTTTTTTTTTTATGCTGAGCCAGTCACTTTAATTTGAAAGCCTCCCTATATGGAAGATTGTATATATCCTTGAACTGATGTTATACTAACTGTTAGTTTAACTGAGCCAGTTAACAAATCGACGGTGGCCTAGTGTGGTATGTTCACTTATTGACAACAATGTTCTTTGTCACAGTGGTCAAAATGTTGTGGACTCACTAGGCACAGACGAGAGAGTTTGCAATACATTTTGACCTCTCTTATGATGGATGTTGTTGTCAATAAGAAGAGTACAGACCATGCCAGACTACTGTTGATTTCTTTTGTACCATATTATTGACATCAATTAAAACGGTTCTTTCAGTACATGACCATTGTGTGATGCTTTGATGTGAGCAGGGTTTCTGTATTCTAATTGACAATGGCAAATTGGATAATCAGACTGCAATATTACTGCCAATTGTGGTTGAATATTATAAATATATCATCATGATGGTAATTTATCATAGGGTGATCCAATCCTTCCACAAGAGCAAAACACTGATTGGATTTGGGAGTGGTCAAGCAGAATTGAAGTTCAACCACAAAAGTAAGTGTCAGTCGTTAAGATCAGAGATTGAATTCACAATCTGTATGAGGAGTTCTAATTGGTTCTTTGGAGACTGTGTGAACCCACAAGAAAAAATCTTAAGAAGAACTGGTTCATACTTTGTGTGCTTTAGTTCGCATATTTTGTGTGCTTTAGTATTCGCATATTTCTCCTTCACTTTGTCAACTTCACTGGTTACCAGTACAACATTGTGTTCATTTTAAGATCATAATTTTAACATTTAAAGCTATTCATGGATGGGTGCCTAGGTATATCATTGAACTAATTAACATCAAACCTAGGTCTGTATATAATCTTAGATCAAATCAAAGTTTATTACTTGACCCTCCTACGGGGAAAATGCTTGCCACATTGGGGGACAGATCATTCTCTGCTGCTGCCCCGTACTTATGGAATGCTCTGCCAGCTGAATTACGTGATATTCAATCATTTTCCGTTTTTAAATGTAAGCTGAAAACTTATTTATTTCGTGCAGCTTTCTCAAAGTACCCTGTCTGACAATTACTTTTATTAGTATTACTAATTAAGTTCCTTATTAAGATCCTTATTCCTAATTAAGATCCCTATTATGGATATTCCATATTATTCTTATTTTTAATATACATTGTTAATATTAATGTACATGTAATTAGTTTTATAAATTTGAATTTACTGTAGTATTCTAAGTTGTTAAGCGCTGTTGATCATTGAATGAAAATAACGCTCTAGAAGTTATTAAATTAAATTAAATTTAGTTGAGGTATGAATGATTGAAGGAAGTTTGGAGAGTGTGAGAGAAGGGCAAGAGTTGTTTGATATGCAGGTAAGCACAATTCTTGCTTGCTTCTTGAGTGCTATCCAAACTTCCTAAGTGCAACCATATCACCATATATCCACAGCTAAAAGCATGAACCATTTCTATTTTGACACCCATTGAGTTCTTTGAACAAGTGCATGCAGAGCTAATGACCAAATATTTCAAGAACAAGTGGTACCCAAAGTAATAAGTTTCCTTGCTACAGAGGATTCAGTTATAACTTTCCCTGTGGATCTTCTTTGTCCCTGCATAATTATTTTGGTTTGTTTGATTGAAAATTAGGGAATGGAAGATGCAACATCCAAGAAGAAAATCTAAGCCACGAGGTGCAAAATTGAGTATCAGAGGTACTAAAGTCATGAGAAGGTAACATACCATTTGGCTTTTAATCCAGGAGAGATGGTTAAGTCAATTAAGTGGCTCATCACCCTCTGTTTTTCAACCAAATTGCTATGTTAGTCTAGTATTGGTATTTTATATGGGAAGAAAACTCAGGAAAACAGGGTAAAAAAATTCCCTTTTGGCCTCTTGACCATGCCTTAGTTAATTTCACCCAACTAAAACTGACCTAACTATGGCACCCAAAATTTGGTGAGAGTTGTATGCTTGTCCATGATGTTAGCTTAATAAAAGATATTCTATCTACAAGGCTAAAAGATTAGGAAAAAAATTACTAAAAATGTTTAAACCAAACGTTTTCGGCTGTGTACCATCATCAGGGTAATGATGATGATGGTAAACAGCCGAAAATGTTTGGTTTAAACATTTTTAATAATTTTATTTCCTAATCTTTTAGCCTTGTATATAGAATATAGTTGTATGCTTGTAATTCTAGATGAAGTCTAAAAGATTTTTACCTTTGTTACATGTAAACTGCTACAGAAAAAAGGTTTTGTTTATTAATCCAGGGGAACTATATAACCGTTCAAGTGTTTTCATTTGTTTGAAGATGTTGTTACTCCTTATGCAATATCAGATCTTATTAAATGTGCATTTCGAGACAAAGGACAACACTTCACTATCTTAATTTTACCTTACAATCTACTGGAGAATCGACCAAAAACATTTTTTTCCACTTGCAGATTTGATGACTTATACGCTAAGTAGTGTGTAAAGTACTGCTCGCGCATAATTATGTTAACCAAAAAATGCACATAGAATGTGCCAAAAATCGCATGCAAGAGCAAAAAAAATCTCTGCCTCAAAGTTTTGCTCATATGCATATAAGCTTGACAAATCTGCCTCGTTAGTTTGTGCAAGCTAGGCCTTTTGTTTTTCTATTGTTGACAGTTTATTGTTTTGAAGAATAGGCCTCAATATCTAAGCAATAAAATACTTCGCGGCACCAACGACAAGCAAAATTGTTCATTTCAATCACTGTTTGAATCAACCTTCCTGATGTACACCACATATTCATGCACCACTGTAATCGAAATATATAAATGATTCGTCACGTTCCAGTGGAATTCTTTTATCAAAATAGCTGTTTCTTACTGAGTAAAAAAATATTCATCACAACAGCATTGAAATGTGTTAATACAAATTTATTCTCAGTGTATTGTATTTCGACAGAACCAGGGGAAGTGCCCATTTGTACCAGCTGTTGCATTTTGAATATGAAACCATGTGTAAAAGCTTATTTCATAGTTCTTGGAAACTTTTCCATTCGTCTTGCCTTTATTAAATAACAGAGAAGTTCTACCAGTACTCACTTATTTTAATTGTGTTGCATTACCTGTCACAACTACGTCTTGTTTTGAGAGTTCTTGACATTATTGACAGACGCTTGCATACTTTGCAAGAAGCAATGTGACATATGTTTGTGTAACATTATGGCTTTTTTCATGATGCTAATTTTTCGTTGTTGCCACATTGTTTTTTCAAATCAAAAGTTATTTGTTTTACACAACAATGAAACACAAAGGAAACTCATAGCACTGAATAGCAAAGACAAAATGTTGCACATGTTTTTGTCCCTGTGCACATAAAAATCATATATGCGCATCTGACTACCCTGCATCTGAGTATAATTATGAAATGTATCTGCTAAGCTTATGTGCAAGTGGTACTTTATGGATGTTAATCCAAAGTTTTCTTTTTAAAACTGTTAAATGGCATTTCTTAACAGACTCTGCTTGGTATAGTGGATGACAAATCAATATGAAATTTTAAATAATTGATTAATCATGTCTTCTTTCCACAGTGCGGAATTGATGAACATTAATTTCTATGTTGTTGTTCCTGCTGTTTTATTATCTCATCTGATTGCATTTGGAATCGGGTAAGGTTCTGTTAAAAGTATCAAGGGTAGAACAACAAACTTTCAGATTTTGACAAGTGGCTAACAAGAGTACAACTACGGAAAAATGAACACATGCAAGCAAAGTTCTCACCTTATGAACTAAGGTTTATTTTGCATGTTTTATTTTTCAGAGTTTATGTGGGACGGCGTATGGTTCAAGTGGATGCATTATGATGAAGTTTCATACCATTACTGTCAGAATGCAACATGGTTGGGATCTCAAGCTTGCAACACTGTGGCATTAACTTAATTCAAACTTTTTATTCATAGCTAATTGTAGTATGCTTCTTAAATGCAATTTGGCACCTCTTTCATTTGAACCTGCAGTGTCCTCCAGCCCTCTATGTAAGCCATGATTATTTGATGGAAATAGAAGAAACACATGTGGACAGCTGAAAATTTTCACTTTGTTTTCTCCTTTTTAATGGTCATCAATCTCAAATTCATGCATAACTTAAAGATTTATGTTTTTTTTTTTCATCAACTGATTATAAATTTCAAACCACTGGTATTCTGACAATTTTTTAATTTCCTTTGGTTCTGATTGGTCACACATCAAGGTAATTGAGAGTGTAAGCTTGTAGATTATAGGTACCAAATAACTTGTAGATTACTAACACAGACATGTCTTTCAGATGTAAGTATGATACTTGTGCCACACATTGCCAACCAATACTTGTCAATGAGCAATTCATCTACTGATTTTAATGATCCAGTTACCAAATTTTTTGATTAAAAGGGATTGACCAATTTCTTGTGATTGGCTAGTGAGAGTGAAAAGTTCTCAATGCAATTATGTTGATCAGTGAAACTTGGTTGGGATTATAACCCCATGATGGTTTGTTTAACTGTGTGTCAAGTTCAGGGCTTGGTAGGGGACTGCTTCAGTTATAGTTCAATAAGACTTGTCTCTGCTCATGAAAGCATACCACTGGAGAAATGTTGAGCACTGGTGGTAGTTATATTGTAGACAAACATGAATGGGTCCACATGCAATTACAATATTTTTAATTACACATGATTATTAATTTGTATTGGGCATCTTTCAATGCAGAGTTGTTTTAGTTAGTAAATGGGTTATAATTTACTTGTTAGGGCTAAATTTATTTAATAAAACTTGCACCCAGTAGCAATTTAAACTTATTTTGCAGGCTCTAATAATCTTTTAAAATAATATTCTTATTAGTCATGACTTTTAATAACAGAATTGTAAGTTATTTTAATTAGTAAAAGTCATTTTTGTCGCCTCATTCGATTATTTATCCTCCTCAAAAGCATGGAAATTCTGAACTATGACTACAGCTTTAACAAGGCTTCTTGCTGTATCAGCATGTAATATACTAAGGGTGATGACATGTAATTTAACAGTTATGTACCAACAATTTGAGAGGGTGCTTTCATTTCGTCTCTTCTCTTCTGAGGCTTTTTAACAATTATTCCACGAGTGTGTGTTGGATATGAGATGATAGATAGCCAACGAGGCACGTAGCACTGAGTTGGCTATAATCATCCCATATCCAACAAGCACGAGTGGAATAACTATTTTATTAAAAACATTAAATTAAATTTTATTAAATTTTTAGCTCCCTTTTAATTTTAAGCTGACATGTACACTTACCATATATGTAGATTATGGTATGTTGGCTGATGTACCATAAT